TTGTAGAGAGGTGACCGTTGTAGAGAGGTGACAGTTGTGGAGAGGTGACCGTTGTGGAGAGGTGACCGTTGCGGCGAGGTGGCCGTCGTGGAGAGGTTTAAATAAGTTGTGTGGATTGTCCGGTGGCCGTTATAGAGAGGTGACCGTTGTAGAGAGGTGACCATTGTAGAGAGGTGACCGTTATAGAGAGGTGACTGTTGTAGAGAGACCGTTATAGAGAGGTGACCGTTGTAGAGAGAGGTAGAGGGTGACCGTTGTGGAGAGGTGACCGTTGTGGAGAGGTGGCCGTTGTAGAGAGGTGACCGTTGTAGAGAGGTGACAGTTGTGGAGATATGGCCGTTATCGAAGGTTCGAATGTAGCTCATTTCATTTCACACAGAATCCATCAGGAGATTGAGTAATTTTAATTTTCAGTGGACAAAAACCTAAGTGTACTAGAATAGTTTAAAGCATATTGCATTCTTTTATACATTTTTCAAGGGCTAAAGATGTAATTAGTCATCTGTAAAAACGCCAAAGCAAATCTGTCATGGGAGCCCGAGAGAATGCATGTCAAATTTCACAAAATTACACCTTACACATGAAAATCTTCAGAATTTTACTGTGTTTTCACAATTCTTGTGAAATTTGACATTCATTTTCTCAAACTCCCATGAGAAATTTTCTTTCTTAGTTCTTTTCATCGAGGAAAGGTTTTTCCATTTGGTTTATTCACAAATATCTCGCGGTACAAGTCACCCGCTAAGAACAGTGGAAATTCGATTGGACTTTTTGTTTATCTGTTCGAACTGTAGCCTACATTCCTAGTTGAAAATGAGTCCACATACTGTATTATAATTCAAATGATATTAATGGACGTGGAATGATCCATCTATGGCGAACGACACGACTGAGATGATAACGCTTAGCAAAAACGACCAATCTAAGGAAACGTTATTAACCAAGATGCCGGAATCATAACAAGATTGTTTTCCTTATTATGCTATTCATAGAAGAAAAACAAAAGCAACACTCTATTAAAACAGTTTCTGCGTTTTTTTTCATGGAACTTACTCTAGTTAACCACCGCATTACAATCGCATAACAAAACGAAAAGCAATTAGCTTGGAAATTGCAACAAATATTTTTTTCACTGACAGGATATCTTAAGAAATAATTCATATCGAAACTCTCTTACGCGACCACTGGCAGAAATGAGATTTAGTTGTCGCTTACAGAAGGTGGTCGTTTTCGAGGATCAAGCCGTGGGGTTCTTTTCCGAGTACAGGTCCGGAGACATCTAATTTTTGAAAGAAAAATGATGTCCATACAGATTCTAGGCTACGATAAGGATAGTTCCATGATGTCGCTAAACGTTCTTTGTATACTCTGCGCAGCGTAGTACTACAGCGAACATAGAGATCGACACTGATGTGTCAAGTGGTCGCTTACAACGGGTTTAAAAAACAAAAACAATGAAAAATTTTGAAACCCTTAAAAAGGGTTCGGTCTCTCACGAGAGTTAGCCGTTTTCGAAAGAATTTAACTATTATTGGGCTTTAACCGGGAAACGTTAATTCTGAATTCTGGTGTTTTGGATCGATTCACTTATGGTTATGGTCTCTTATGAGAGGAAGTCGAGGTCGCAAGTGGAGATTCGACTGAAGTTGAAATCAAATGTTGACATACGCCATATTAAGCATACCAATAAGTTTTTGTATCTTTCTTAAGCGGATTTTATTTTGTTGAGCAAACTAGAGCGGCCGAATCAGAAAAAAAAGGTACAACTTTTTTGAAGAATCAAAATGCAAAGCTAAAATCAATAAAACATTACCTGTGTTCCTCTATACCTAAAATTGTCATCTTCTGTGAAATTATCAAAACCAGCAAATCTGTCGGAATCGCATAGTTCACACACGAACTTTCCTGTTTGGCTCTTTGTGATCCCAAAGTTGTAAGAGAAGCATCCTTCATCCATGACGCATTGAAAGCTACATTCATCCTCTGACATTACATCAACTTGTTTCATCACGCTGCCGGTTAATTTTCGTTTTTCTTTCGCCTGAGCAAAGTTAACAGCTTTAAAATCAGGCGCCAAAATACGGCTTGTGCTGTGCGCAGTGGTTACGGAAAAAACGATTAGAGGCAGCAAAAGCATTTTGACTGGCCAGCCTCACAGCATTTTCGCCCGAGAACCCGTTGCTGAATGTTTCACTCCATAGGCCCGTAGACCAAACTATCTATGACCCAAATATATTTTGTACACAAACACCTGCCGATTTGCGCATAACAGATTTTTAAGCCAAACAAAAAGATATAAATTGTAAAATTGCATGTTCGTTGTAAATGTTGTTGTTCAATTTTGTCATTGGTTTTAATTTTATTATCTTTTGTTTCAAACTCATTATCTTGCATTACCATACCCAAAAACAAAAGAGAAGAAAATTTAAACCAAGGATAAAATTGAACCACAACATAAATACATGACATATTACAGTTTGATTTATGAAAAGTTAGGAAACTGAAACAAAGCCGTTTCGAATTCGAAATCTGTCGAGTCAGGCTTTAAGAACACGCACACGCCGATCCTTATTCTGATTTTGCTATTCGAAGCGAGACACTTGAAAAATGTTTATCTTGTTATCGATATTCCAATCAGAGCCTGTTTTGAAAGCAGAGGATTCTGGAGGTAGATTAGAGTTTATCTTTTTAACATACAAATATCTCTAAATTTACGAGTGGCGTTTGAACTTTCCCAGATTTCAGATTTGTTATATTGTGAAATCCAATAAGGGATTTCATCTGGGAAAAATCTGTCCTTCGATTTCTTTCCCGCCGGAAATCCGGAAAAAAGGTTCATGTGCAAAGCAAGCAAGCAAGCAAGTATAAACAATGCAAGCAACAGCAACTATATTGATCGCAAAAGAAATATGATACATGCACACTACACCGCACTACGCCTACATTTTATAGCAAGAGCTATTCGAGGCAGGCAGTGTGGGTATGCAGTACATACATCGTCTTACATTTATCTGAGTTAAACTTATACTATGAATGTATGAAATTTTTAAAAGAAATAAAAGAGATCAGAGAGGTTAAGCATCACGTTTACGTCAAATGGCAAACGCGAATTTGTACCACGTGATCAAGTTTCCCCTTTACTTGTCGTTTACTGTTCATTATTTCTACACATACAATAATTACTTTCACGCAAGAAGAAGCCACTATGACGAGTAGGCAAACGCGTGAGAAATTACAGTTTTTGTATGAGAATGTAATCTCAAATAATTTCCGCAAAACGCATGTTCTGAAGAAAAAAAAAAAAAAATGGGAATTTTGAACTAAAGCTACACAGGAAAGGATTCTACTGACAAATTTTTGGGGCCGTACCTGTGCTTTAAAAATTTCTTTAGACGCTTGTTTAGATTTTCCAACTATTTGCCCGACTGCAATTTTTCAGGGAAATTAAGTCGGCAGGAAGAAAAATTTTTACAGACAAAGGTATAGAAATTTTAAAAAGTGGTTCTAATGCATGTAGCTGTATGAAACGCCTAACGTTTACAATTCATACTTTTCAATAACAGCCGTTTTAGGGAAATTATTTGATATTAAATTGTCATACAGACTCTGTAAACTCTCACGCGGTTGCCTACCCGTCAAGATGGCTTCTAAAACCGTGACGAGGTATTGTAGTGCAGAGAGTTTGGAAAGGAGCGGGGAGCCTCCTTCCGGCTCCTAGTTTTTTTTACCTACCCTCGCGCCTCTCCAGCTCTTCGACCACTTAGCCAAAAGGAAATGACTGCTACTCAGGCCGGACATTATACTACTTTGCCCCACGTCAATGAATGAGATGAACAGCTGAGCCCCCGATTCAACCATCTAATACAAGTCAGCGGATACTGTAAAGCGGTAAATTAACCTCAACATGCATTTTCAATATCAAGCTACATACATATACACACTGTTTACAGGTGGCCATTACGACACCCGAGGTTAGGATCATGAGGTCATCCCTATACAAAGATCTTTCCTGTCAGAAAACTCACCCAACCAAGGAAATGTTGGCCACACCACCGTGGTCTACGTCCTTTACTCTTTTCGAAGAGTGTTGTCAGGGTTCTTTTACGTCTCACAGGAACAAGACAAGTTAAAGTGCTGTGAGACGGAACCTACGGTTATTCGTCCTTATCCGAGAAAAAGTAGAAAGTCCTGTTGTTTGCAGATGTCATTACAAAGGCAGCACTTTCTTTCAAAGACCCTGAGTGTTGGCCCGGCCGAGGTTTGAAACCGCGACCTCCTGCTCAGCAGACCGGCTACCTCGCCAACTGAGCTAAGCAGGCAGCGGTTGAAAAAAAAAGATTGTATTCCTTGAACTCCAAGCTAGTAAGTGTGACATTTCACGTCATATCCTCTCATGGATGCGACGGCGGACGTAGATGGATGCACAGAAGGGCGATTGTCACAGCCAAATTTTTTTCTTTTATGCATAGACAACCAATAGGCCATTTAACAGTTATAGATGGAAACGAGGCTAGAGCTGACTTTGTTTTGATTTGACTCTTCCTGCTTTATTATTTAAATCATTACTTTTTTGAGACAAATGAACACAGGAATAAATAAGAAATAAATAAGTAAAAAGAAAAACCTATTTGAACCCATGTATATTTCAAGTTTGATTTCCATATGAAAACATGGGAGTTTTGTATCAAAACAAGATCAACCCTTAGCTTCACATTCACTCGAAGGCTAGGGTACTCTGCCCGCAACTGTAAAATTTTTTTTTTTTTCGCGTGATGTTCCACTACGCGCACGAGTTCCGCTATAACCTATACAAATAAGTGAAATATCAACGTTCAAGCATAGCGCGAGCTGTAGAGATGGCGCGCTCAATATTGCGTAACATACAATTCGAAGTTTCAAACGCGAGCACTACAAAACTTCAACGTTCACAAGCATTTCTTTGTGAAGGAACATTTAAGTTGTAGAAAACGGAGGTTTTAGAGTTATTGTTAACCTTAGAAATGATAACGAATCGCGTTAACGAACTCTCTTTCGAGTATCTGCCGAGAAAAATGCGAGGTTTACCAGAATTCCACCACGCAGCGCTTTTAGGCAAAACAGACCAACTCCGTGATTTAATATTACAAGATAACGCAGTGGCTTCTAGTGTTGATATGTACGGAAGAACAGCGCTTCACGTTGCAGCTTCCCATGGAGTGTATAACAGTCTCAAAGAACTTTGCAAACATTGCTCTAAGGAGACATTAGATCGCGCCGATTGCTATCGATTCACAGCTTTGCACTACGCCGTTCAGGGAGCCAATACATACTGCGCTAAGCTTCTTTTGGAGTCAGGTTCTGATGTAAATCCTACCCAGTACACCTTGTACACTCCTCTTCATCTAGCTGCCTTATATGGATATCCCGAGCTTGTTGCTCTTCTTTGCAAACACGGTGCTAATGTTCATGCGCGGAATGCTTCACTAGAAACACCGCTACAAATGGCGTCACGATCAGGCATTCGAATACGGGAAAGACTTAAGGTAAATACTGAGAGGGAGGGCTACTTTTAATTAGCTATGGTATTAATGTATGAGGGTGCTCGAGTAGAAAGGATTTTCCCTTCTCAAGTATATTAAGGCGTGGGTTTTTCAATATAAAGGACCCATAGCTAAGATTTGAAGATCAGACATCACGCTTGCAGCTCGTAAGAACAAGTTTCTGTCAGTCGTAAAACTTAAAAGGATTCACATTTGGCGTGTTTGATCGATCAAACAAAAGTGTTATATACCTTCACGTGATCTCCCGCTTCTGATGACGTCACAAAACGCGCGCTTCAAATTGGGTACCTTTGCACATTAAAAGTTTGAAAATTTTCTTTGTCACTGAATGGTCTTAAGATTGTTGTTAACATGATTTTGCCTTTTACGGCAGTCTTCATTCTATGTTATTAGCATATTTGTTAAGTCACGTGACCTGTCTTACTTAATTGACGATTGATTTAAAGGCGCTATTCTTAAGCCATAGAAAAACGGTTAAATAAGGCGAATACAGTAATTAAGACGAATGTGTGTCACGTGACTTAGACTGCCAATGAAAAAGCTCATTAAATGGAATCAAGCTTGAATAGGAAACTGCTCGCCAAGTTTCACAAAGATCAGTAAAATGTTTCTACTTGATATCAAAACCCAAGAAATTCCCAGGGAATCTTCAATTTAGCTGGACAGTTAAAGAAAAAAAAGGAATACACATACACTCAAGATGATTTGCTGAGTTTCTAAGCCTGGTAAGCTTGTCGAAGAAGGACCCCTTCAGGAGATCCACAATGCAGGTTTCTATAACTTCATTAACTTTATTGGGGTTCGTGTACCAAGTGTTTCTTGCACACATATTTGATGAGTCGCAGCACGCAGAGAGAGTTGTTCCCCGCTTGCTATCTTTGATCAGCGAAGTCTTAGTAGATTTCTTTATCCCTTCCCACATTCTCGATCTTTTTTATTTTTGTGAAGTTTCAAAAGCAGACTTTTCCCTTGGTGATTATTTTAGCAGCCATAGATTTCAGCACCTGCTCGCTTCTTTGACAACATTTTGTTAGAGCACCAGTAAGTAGAACACCATTTAGTTTCAATAGCTTCATATATGTAACGGGATTGAAATATACTTTCAAAGTAGTTCTAATTTCCTCGTATTCGCGCCATTGCCATCCGTGTCATGATAAATAATTCAATAATGATTTGTAGGTGGCACATGCACAAATTGTTTCTTCGTCTGCCTGATTCCTGATCGAATTGGAATTTGGAAATGTTGGTTTTTGATGAGAGGGGAAGACCCGAGTAGGACCAACAACAAACATTGTTCGCTTACACTGAGCCAGGGGGCATCGAGAGAGGAGGTGGCCCCTTTGGGACTTGTAGCTGGCATAAATTTCATTGTTAATGGTGATGGTGGGGGGATCACTAAATTCTACTTCGTACCTAAATCATGGTGATTTTCTTTAAAAAAACTTGTTTTCAAGGTACACTACATCACGTTAGCATTGTTACTCAAGTTTGGTTCCAACGCTAAAGTGCAGGACAACGAAGGCACAACACCGCTTCACTACGTAGCCATGCACTGCGACAAAAAAGAGTGTGCGGCTCTTTTATGCGCAGCAGGAGCCAGCGTCAGAAGCCGTAACCATGGCAATGTAACCGCTGTGCAAGTTGCACGCAGTTTGGAAATAAGGGAATATCTTAAGCAACTCTTAAAGGCTCCTCCAAGACTCGAACACTTTTGTCTCTTGGCGATACGCAAGGGACTGGGAACAAACCTCAAAAATGCAGACGATCTGCCTCTGCCCAGGCCCCTAAAGGACAAAATACTTTTCAAAACTCTCCCGCAAGTTATTTAACGATTATGTTCGAATATTTATTACGCAAGACCTTTGTTAACTTCATAATTTGTCATATTGATAAGAAGGAAATGAACTGCGGATTATTCAAATTGAAAGTTTATGTCGTCTTCAACTGATGTGGTTGAGAATTCAGAGTTTAGTGTAGATCTTGGGAATTCAAAGTTTAGTTTCTAAAGAATTGGTTCTATCATGTGTTGCAAAAGTATATTACCGTGAAAAGATTAGGGAAAAGCTGACGTTTCATGATCGACGGCTAGCTCTTCTGCAGAGTGTTTCTAAGCTTTGACGAGACGCTAGCATCAGGGCTCGTTTTGAAAGATATAATTTTTGAAAATCGTAAATGGTGTTCTCTTCTTTGCAAAGTAAACTCCATTTTCAGGTAAATTCTTTAATAAAAAATAAATTGTTTGACCACCAACATGGCCGCCTTTTCACGTGGTCCCAAACCGATAATTTGTGGCAGACTGTTTCTTTTTTCACATCAGTTGTCAAATCTAATTTTTTTGTATTAATAAAACTCAATACAAAAACTCTCACTGTATCAAAAAAGGAATTGGTCATTTTTATTTTATTTTAATAAAACCTATCTAAATACAATACCTTGTTGTAAGCTATTTTGATTACAAAGCCTTTCGATTACATACTGCTCTGCGAAATTACATGTTTATTTAATATAATAATATCATATTTTCAGCTACACAAAGTAAATTTACAGGCTACATAAAGACTCCTCCGAGTGATTTTTGTATAATTGCGTATTATAAAAGTACAAAATATTTCATGCTGGGCTTAGAAAAATATTTGGTAATGTAAACAAACCTTGTAGGCCTTTCTACAGTTCATGTTCCTTAATGTTACTATTTTCACGGGCGCACTTAGTTTTGCGAACGTGCAAAACGGAGCTGTAGCGAGTCTTAAATTTCGCGATTTTGAATAAAAATGGTCGTAGAGGGAACAAATTTCGCGACGAACTCTCAAATGAGCACAAAACATGGTCAAGTTGTTTAAAGGACCGAACGGAACGGGTTGTCATAGTAACTACCCTAGTTTTGCGTTTATCTAACTTTCAGAACAACTTGGCCCAGGTCTTCTCAGATCGGCGCTACAGCTTTTGATTCACAAGACAATCTTTAAACAACTTAGTTTTGAACATATTTCTTTGCGTTGAAATACAGTTTTTAGGAAGGTAGAAAAACAGATTGTTATATTAGATTGTACGACATGTTCTTATAACCAGTTGCGAAATTAGTTCAGATGAACCCTTCCTAAAAAGGGAAATTCAGGGACCAAGATATTTAATTTTGAGCCGTTGTTTTTAGCTAGGAACATTTCTCGTGGACATTCAAGGAATTCGCGAAAGTTAAGTCCCGCTAAAATATGTAACAATTATTACAAACACCCCGTGTGTTTGAAGCTACAGCGCTTCTGTGAAACGTACGTTTACGTACGGTGTCGATTATTTACGAAATGCAATGCTAATTATTTGTATAAATACTTCAAAAATTACTGCCTTGTTTATTTATCTATGGCAATCACAAATTTCTCTCTACACTAAACTGTTTCGGCATCACTTTTTCGTGTGGTTATAACAGAGACATAAGCTGAAAGGGAGACAGTACACAGTACTTGATCAATTTGCCACTCTAAGAGAACAATTTGAAATGTGTGCGTGTTTTTTTCTTTTAATCTTTCAAGGCAACACAAGTATATCTCTATCATCAAGTCTCTAAAATTTAGTTCGATAAGTTTTATCTGTTAGCTTTTACTTGCTTGTATTCTATGAGTTCGAATATTTAATTCACAATTACTTTCTACATATTGGAAGTCCCAAACACAACGGCCAATTTATGAGTCACAAAATTAACCAAATTTTTTAAACTTATTTTGATACTGGTTTGCACTTTACTTTCTACAGAAAAGTGTTGCAGTGATGACGGTATAAGGGAATTAAGAGAAGAACAAGTAAGATTATTACCCATTCCCTAACCCTTACGGCCGGCATTATTCGAAATTATTGTAGGCATCAAAGGAGTCCAGGTACTCGCCAAGAGCATGGTAAATAAACTCGTACTGATCCTTGGTTTGTACCATAGCAGGTCTCTGAGATCTCAACTGTTTTACAGTCTGGAAAACATCAACCACGCCCTCAGCCTTCAACCTCTCAATAAGCAAACTTAGGGCACAGAAGACTCCTGTTCGGCCAACACCCGCACTGCCAACAGAAAAGGACAAAAACAGCCAATTTAGTTTATATTCGTAAGCCATCGGACTACCTTCGGCCTTAAAATGCACTTTTTTGTGACTGTCAATTTATTTAGAACGAAAGTACTACCTGAGGAAACAATTTTTGCGTTTCCTACCCAATGGAGACGGGACTGATATTTTGCGAGCCAGACGAAGATCTAGCTATTTGCTGGGCCCGAAAGGCAGTACCTTCATTTGCCAGTTATTTCAAGACCGGCCCCGGGAATCGAACCCGCAACCTACCGCTCAGGCGTCAAGTGCCCTACAGACTGAGCTAATCCTGCGGATAAAGAAACCTTTGGTTGCATTTCGGAAATCATTGAAAGTCGTAGCGCAAGCCATTGTCCGTCCAATGGAATTTCGGAAGATCTCTGGCAGCCGGCAATCTCTACCTACTTCACGACTGCTTTAATATATAAAAACAAAATTTCGGAAAAATCGTTTCAGACGACGTTGGCACAGTGCCAGAGTGACAAGAGGAGACCGGATAAGGGATATAAAAATCATCTTAAAGTTAAGCGAAATAGTTTACGTCCCATGCAAGGGAATCCAAGACAGTCCTGGAATTTGGATTTCACGCCAAGGATTCCAGTATCAGGGCACTGGATTCCGGATTTCACGAGCAAAAAATTGTCGGATTCCTTTACATGGGGCGATAAGTTTAGTGATCCGCATGAGCAGCAGTAGCAGCTAGTCCATACCTGCAATGTACGGTGATTGTGGTGTTTCCTGACTTCTGTTGCCACTTTTGTACCTGACCAATTAGATCAATTAATCCTGATCCCGAGTCCGGAGATCCGACATCGGGCCATCCGGTGTAATGATACTGACGCACCATTCGGGATGCACTCTCCTAAAAATATAAATAAATAAATAAAATATAAATAAATTAAAAAATAAATAAATAACACGTCAAGGCTAGGGAACATGATGTAAGGATGCAATATAGCTTATCCACTTAAGAATTTGTTAAGCACAATATCACATGACACAAATTGGAAGTACGCACAGGCTGTGATTCTGTTACGCGTGAGGTTGTCTGTAATGTCACAAAGTGCAACATCCACCATCTACATAAGGAACATGATGCTCGCATGCAACAAGGACTTTGCTGCATGCAATATCGAAGGAAACATATTAGAAGAGCACACGGTCTGTGAATCTCAAACTCGCGAGATTGTCTGTAATTTCGCAACGTGCAACATACACCATTTACCTACATGTAACGAACATGATGTGCGCATGCAACATGGCTTCTCCACTTACAAATGTGTTTCCGGTAATATCGCATGAAACAAATTAGAAGTGGATGCTTCCGTCGCAAAGTGCAAAATCCACCAAAATAAAACATAGCCTGCGAAAGAGCTTTCCAATAGACCTTTTTACCGATACGGCGGCCATATTGAATTATTTCGATTTAAGGAGTACTATAGGATGCCCAGGGGGCATGAGCACATTTCGTTTGTATTTTCGAGCGCTTTTCGCGACATTTTTTCTTAAAGATTTCTTGGAATAAGATTGTAATGGGAAAAAAGATCCTTGTGCCGTGTTTGGATGTAATAATGATAGCCTTTTTCTAGTTTAGTATTAGAAATACGGTCTTTCACTATATATTTCTCGGGAAAAATACTCCTTAAGGTGATTCCCTGGTTTTGCACTGCGCATCTCTTACTGCGCATAATAAGATGACACGAGAGCGAAGGGTGAAAAAGAAAACCCCTCGCGGCTTCCCTTGCGGCTCGCTTCACTCGCCACTCGAACCACAACTGGTAGAAACTCAGTGACTATCAGAGCGGTTACACTGGCTTCTTACTATACCTTAGTATTGGTGAGCTTGATCTCTCTCATGACGTAGTCTTCATAAACCATCTCACTTGTCATTTCAACCATTAAAGTGCTGATGTTTGCAGGCTGCTTCCCGGGCCAATACCGATGCACTTTTACCTGAATGTATACAGATTTACTCGTGAGATACTGATAAAATGAAAAAAATGCATGCGAAACCATACAGACTTAAACTGCTATAAAGGCTCCTTCTTAGAATGAATAGTCTTACGCTGTATTCAGGCATTAGGAACGATCAAATGTATTCCACTAACCTGCAGTATAGAGCAAGGGGGTATGGGGGAGGAGTAGAATTGGGCGAGAAGGCAAGCGTGGACTAGTCACCATCTTCGATTTCCAAAACAAAGGGAATTTGAGAAAAAAAGCCCTCATTTTCCTGACCCGTCTGGCCATAGTTCACTACAACCCAAGCAAGTTCTTAAGATCCGACGACGGCGACGGCAATAAAAACGTCAAAAAAGGAATAGGCTAGATACGCGAACAAAACAAAAAACAAACAAACAAACAAACAAAATCTGCAAGTACAGCACACTCTTTTTGCACATTTCTTTGATGCCACTGCAAAGCTGCGACTTGATATCTGAATTTGGAAATGGTTCTTACGAATTCATCTCCAGAGACGTTACCCTACATTTGACAAAGTACGTGAGTTGGAACAAAAGGCTATGGAGATTGAATGAACGCGAATTCAATTTCTAACCGACGTCCCCTAATGTTTGAAGATAATCTGACTCGTCATTAATTTCAATTTTAATTGTTAATTAAGTCCAAATAACATTCCTACCTTGCCGCTCTCAGTTTCTTTAGAAAGCATCACAATGGTCGAAGACTCCTGTTCCCAGATCATGCGCCAAAAGTCAGGGATCGTATCGGGTATGGGAGCTTGGGTAGCAATAAATGCTCTTCTCATCATGTACCCGTCGATGAAGTTAGCGTTGATGTAGTCAGAGCCTTCTATGCCGGTAATAACGCTGAGTTTCACGCGAGTGTCGTCAAACGCTAACACGTTTGCATAACGATTCTTGGTTTTGTTATAGTGCATGTTGGCTGCCTGGAATTTGGACTGCGGTGCAGCGCCGCCCCGACCCAGACGGGTAAACTCCTCGTCCATTTCCGTTTGCCCTGTAGCAAATTATTATGCACGTTAAATCTTAACAATTGAATCTCCAATTTAGAAAAAACACTGGGATGATTTGTAAGGTGATAACTGCATCACCATTCACAAATCACAAAAAGACCCGGAAGCCATAATTAAAAATTACTTTAAATACGCCATAGCGCTTTGAACGTGTTGTGAAAATGGGATTTTATTCAAGGGCGGCCGTCGAGCAAACACTGCGCTCCACCACCCCCTCCCCCCCTCCTTGACCCAACAGTTTGCCTTAGTTAATAAGTGTTGTTAGCGTTGGGTTGTGGGAAGGGTCCTTGAGGTGGGCAGCTTCCCAAAATCTTGTAACGATCCCATATTACTATCCATTACCCATATAATCGGCAAAATTGGTGGAAATCCACTGGGGATGTACCTGTATTTGCGTTGACTTCCATAAGCCTCTTGACGTGTGCTCTGAGTTCATTCGCGCGTATTTCAGTATACCCAGCGTGAATAGCTTCCACGAGAACTTCATGGATAAAAACGTACTGTTCTTCTACTTGCACCATGATGTTTCTGTCACAGCGCAAAGACATCACATATCCAAACACGTCGACTGTTTTCTCTGCCGCTATACGCTGTAGCATGGAGTCTACAACAACGAATGTACCAGTTCTCCCCACACCGGCGCTGCAGTGAACAACCTGCAACATAAACAGCTAGAGTGAGGAAAGCAAGGGGTGGAGAAAGCACAGGCTTCCCACTATTGTGCGCGGGTGTATTAGGGAGTTGAGGCAGGGACGTTTTTGAGCGACCCACGTCAACCGGAAGAGAGCCTTTTCCGCTTTTAACTACCTTGACGCTACCAAATTTGAATGGCTAAGTTTCTATGCTCTAAAAATCACTGCTCAAGAGGGCAACAAGTCCACTTCATGTTAACGTGCTTAAACTCCCTAACCCCAGAGCCAATGTCGCCAATTTCCCTTTCCTAAATAAGGGAGTGCTATCATATTTAACCAAGCCTTTTGTTATGGTATATCTAATATATGCTCTGGATAAAGTTACAATAATGCAAAAGATACATTTTTATTTTCAGAAAGAACAAAGTTTAAGCCAAAGGTCAATTCACAGTAAACGTCCGGAAAAGGTTAAGGTTCACCTGTTGAAGATGCATGACGTACGAAAGGTGAATAATCAATATGTGCTCGTAAATGTATTGGAATTTTGGTGGTTCGGTGTGAAAGTGAAGTGGTAAGGGGGAGAGGCTTGCATAAGAAAGGTTAGAGTTCACTTCTAAGTTGTGAAATTCTTTCGTCTTTAGAAGAAACACTTTCAATACCGGTTACAAAAATCAAAGGTCTCTATTGCGAACAACTGTTACAACACGCACTTGTATTTTTGCCTTTGTTGATGCCCCCAAAACTCTTTTTTGCTCGATATGTACCTCTATGGAAGAGTCTTCCATATACTATTGTTTCCGCTCCGTCTTTGCCCATGTTTTAGCTCACAGCGAAAAGCTATCTACCATCACTTACTGCCTAATTATGCTACCCATTTTAGCCTATGATATAATTGGCAATTAACCAATTAAAGATTAAAGATTCACATTTTCCAACTCACCATAGGCCCCGCATCAGACGGGTTAGCACCAGATGCTTTCCTAACAAACGTTAGCAAAGAAGTTGGGCAGGACGGAACACCATGATCTGGCCATACAGTGTAATGGTACTGATTCACAGTTCGCTCAGCTCTGCTATTGGCTTTCTTTAGACAAAACGTGCGGATAGTAAAGTCACTTAACTCTACTGTCTGTGTCAGATTTATTTGAATATCACCGTAAGTGGATCCCTCCTCCGAAGGCCAATACTGATAGCACTTCACACGACCTCGCTCTTCCAAGTTTGTTACCTGGGAGGGAATGCATACAGAGTTATAACTCATAAGGTGAAATTTGTTTTAAACAACTGATGCATATATAAGCAAGTGGAACAGCCGACAAGTTATGTCTATTCGCTATTTGCAAATCTCCATTAATACACCTTATCCCACCCCTCCCCCCCCAAAAAAATACAAAAAGATCAAAGAGAAATTGAAGAAATGTTTTAGTGAGGGTGGGGACAAAAAAGTGGTCTTATGGGAGCTGTGCAAATGCCAAATTTAGCGACAATATCCCCTTTCGTTAGCAGGCATGGACACAAGATCCGAGAAATTCGTTTCTACAAAAAGAGTCGTCCTAATCTTTGATTGGCCTACGGTCGCTTTGCGAGATTAACGAGTTTGCTGCCGTAAGTAAAAACTGGCCACGGTGTGGCCATAATTCACTACAACCAACAACGACACATCCAACAACGTCGATTCTGGGAAAATCGCTCGTAAATACTAAGCAAATCTGAAAGGAATTTTTTGTTCTCTAGCAAAAGGCGAAAAGAATTTAACACCTAACCATGGGCTAGAAACTATGGGAATTTTGGCACCATAAAATTGCCAACGCCCTATTAATGAATACAAACCATAACAATGGTCTTTGTGGTTTACTCCCACACCATTCTCCAGACGTCGTCAACAGTCTCTGGCAGGGGTCCCTGAGCAGCGATGTAAGTCCTTTTTTTTCTATAACCATCAAGATAGTTCGCGTTGATGTAGTCTGACCCAGGTACCCCCTGTAACGGCGTCAGACAAACTCGGCTATGGTCATAGGCAACAATATTATTGTAACGGTTCTTGAATCTGTTTTCTTGCGCTAGCGTGGCATTCCAAGTAAAGTCCATAGAGGGACGAAGACCACTGTATTCTTGAGAGAACAACAGGTCGCCATTTGCATGGAGGCGACGCACGTGACCTTCGAACTCCTCCACGGGTATGGATTCTCCAGGGACATAGTTGGGGTTGTCTGTGAATCAAGATGACCTTTGATGTTAACTTTAGCAGGTTAAACCGTAAGGACTTAAACAGGATTAACCGGAAAGGGACTTAAAAATTGTCCTTATTCGCTAATTACCTGTTAGAAACCGCGGGTACTTTTCATGAGAGCCTCACTCTTATGAAGACCCATTTGAGCAGATCTAACGTCAACCAATAAAAGAAAGTTGCATGATGCATGAGATAATGCCTAAGCTCCGAGGACTTCGTATAAATAATGACCGAGCGCGTAGCACAAGGTATTATCCGAGCAAAGGCGATTATCTGATTGAACGCATCTTTCCACTCTTTTAGAACAAACAGGTCATTGCTGTGATCACTAAGATCCAATAATGACTTGCTCTTCCATTTATTAAAAATACTGTTAAAAAAGTAAATAAAATGAAATAAAATAAAAAGGTGAATTATGATAAGTGCTCGAACGAACCCGCCCAACTCCCAACTAACCATAAGTCCACCATGTTGCATGAGAAGTAAACAAATTATTGGCCACTGAACAGCTGGCCAAGGCCCAGGACAATTGTACGATAACGTCATTTTACAGTAACTATCAGAATTCTTCAGTCTGTTGTTTTCTTGTGCAAATTAAGGCTATTGTTTTTTTACAGTCAACGCAGGTCAAGCGTACCCCTTAAAAATTCTATTAATGAATTGATTATTTGAAAGATAAATCCAGTAGTCGTTCCCGTAACTAGTGTCAAATTCAAATCGACATTGCTGCACTTGTAAAAAGCTGTGACTATTTTATGAGAACTTCCCTGTATCTGGTCAGATTGAAAATCTTGGAATGGTTAAAATTGCTTCGAGGACATTTACATCAAATTCTGGCAAAACCGAGCTGTTAGAAATTTAATAACTGCCTCGCGTGTTAATTCACGACTTATTACGCATGCAAGAATGCAGAGATGAATCTGAAATCTACAACTACCAACGGATTAAACGTTCGAAGAATTCATTCATTTATGGAGTCTTGGGGAGTACGCTTGACCACGCTTGACTGTAACCTCAGGAAGAAAGACAATTTTACATAAGAGAGCAAAAGCGAAATGAATTCTAGTAGTTGTATTTAAGTGAAGTCATCGTACAATTGGCCTATTATTTTTACCAGACTGGTAAAAACGTGAAAATGTCAGTCCACACCCATTGTTCTACTCATTCAAACGCGGGATTAAATTGCGCATGTGCATCCCACACTCTACAGAAAGCTTTTACAGGGCAACAGCGCGAAACACGGAAGCAAAAGAAAATAGAGTTGGATATAACGCGATCTAACGTAATCCAACAACTTTTACATGACTGTCAATCCCATTAAGTCATTAAGTGTTTAATCACATTAAGTCTGATTAACAAATATAAGATCTGATTAAACAGGGCTATTTGAATAATAAAAGAGCATACTAGTTTAATTTATATAACAAAGGTGGGTACTGTAGGTTTTTAGATTTAATTTTTGCTGTTGATATTATTTGTTTGTTTGTTGTTGTTGTTTTTTTTACAATTGCGAGAAAACCGCTACATAACTGGCCCCACTTTTTCATCTCTATTTCTTCTTTTATCTCTTAGGTTTAAAATAATTGATTGACTCGGTAAGAAAAGACAAGGAACAGATAAAATTCATCGTGAGTTACTGCATAAATCTGAGTTCAATTCTACACTTACATGAGCTTTGAATTGTGTTTTCCAGCAAATTATTTCCTGTAACAAATTAATTAGCAGTTCTTTGAGATTTAGACTTTGGACTTGAAGGTCAACCCTTATCTTTACGGTAAACTAAGGCAAAAGTAAGCCGAAATAAAGAACGTTGTTAGGTCAAGGTTTTTCAAAGAGTTAGGTAACTCCTCGCTAAAGATTAAAGCCAATGGAATTATATAGTTATGCTTATACAGTTGTTATTTTTTATGGTCTTTTAGCGTTCTATTGCAAATATAAACGTACTTTCTTGTGATTTTATCAAGTGAATCTTGGCATAAAATTGGGTTTTATTGTTAGCTGATAGATCAGTTATCAAAGGGAGTACTGACAGCTATAGTTTCAACGTTAGCTTACTTATAATTCTTGCAGGTAAGTACATCAGATTAATACCTTTTAGTTTGCAGGTATGGTTAGTGGACTTACTAAGCGTTTCATATCTTAACAAAGTTGTCTTTCACAACTTAGGGTTGTTTCAACAGTAGATTGAAAGAAAAAAAATCGTTTCCGCGGTCTAAAAACACTCAATTTCAAAACGAGGCTAACTGCAAAACTTTTCTTGACAAGATGAGCTTTAGTTGCGTGACTAAAGAAACGTTTTTATGGCTTTGCATTTAGTCTCGCTTTGAAACAGGGGCTTGGAGCAACTCGGAAATGACCTATTCACTGCACGAAGAACTACAGTCCAGTTCTTATGTTTGCTGTGTTCAGAGCCCTTGGGCCCATCTGTTAGAGAAACAAGTATTCCAAAAAGGAATGTTTGATCCCAAAACAAACGAGATCGGACTTAAACTTTCACAAAGTTCTCTGCAGTCGCGCAGTTTTATTTTGTTACGTGCAACAGGACTTTTCTCCCTTGATGCGCGCCAATTTTAGCGACCCAAAAGCAGGTCGCTTTATGAATTATAGCTGCAGTCAATCACACAAAACAATGCGCCCAAAAGTCACGTGGTCGATAAAGCACAGCCGCCTGACTTTGACTCTTGGCGGGAAGCTAAAATCAAAATCCTTCAAGCGGGGCAAGTCTAACGCTTTCGCGACTGCGTCCCTTGCTCGGTCACTTCGCTCGCTTTAGGACTGCGGACAAACTTTTAGCCCGTACTATTGACAAAACGAGGACTAGAGGAAGCAAGTCTAGTCCTGAAAATGCAAAGGCCTTGCTCAACAGGTCTACCAGGTTAGTCCATGTTAGGCCATTGTTGGATGGAGCATGTTGGGTCCTTTTGAACATAATATTGAACTGTGGTAGATGTTATGGAAGATGTTAAATCAGGTTTAGACTAGTTGAAATCTAACCGACATCGTCCAACGATGTTAACTAACACTGGATCATCAAGGAGGATTTCGGAACGGCTTATTTGACTGCATTTTTCTGAAAGGTTACCAAAAGTCCTACAATACAACTCACCAATTCCTGATCTTCGGAAAAACGCGGAGACTGATTTAGTACGGTGTGGCTTGGAATTCATGGGCACGTCTTCCCCATCAACGGCTTGATCCTTGTTTCTTCGACGAAGATAGACGATGACTACTACTACAATAATAGCCAACACAATGAGCGGAACAACCACCCCTGCTACAATGGCGGCCGTGTTGTCCTTGTTGGTGGTGAATATGATAAAGCCTTCGTTCTCGTAATTATCATCCTTATCAAAGGAACGCTGAAATACAGCATACTTGGTATCATCGTCAAGCTCTCCGTTTAGATACTTTTCAACTAGTAAAGCAAAACAAAGAAACGTCATAGTTAGAAAATCAGTGTTCGATGTCTTAACTCTCATGCTAGGTGCAAACGGACGCAACAACTCCCACACAATGTTGGGACCTGCAGTGCGTCGTGGAAAAGTTACAACCAACCCATAGGAAGTTGTAAACAACATGTCCCAGGGTGAGCAAACGAACGCAAGATGTAACATCCAACACTTTTGGGAGTTGTTCGCCAACAATGTTGCGTCCGTGGATAAATTTACGTTTCTGGGAAACTGCCCACCTACCCCTCCCCTAAGCCAACAGTTTGCCCTAAGTGGGAAGTAAGTGATAATGTTGACTTAGGGGAGGGGTGGGTGGTCAGTTTCCCAGAAACCTAAATTGATCCGCGTCCGTTTGAACTGGGCTTACCATACGAATATCTCCCCGAGGGGCTCTACGTTTGTCCACCGAGCGGTTTTCGTTTAGCCAGAATTTAAGGCTGGTTTTCATCAGCGACGGAGTCGAAATCAGAAAAGACTAAAGAACTTTACGATTTAGTGAAAACAGCGTTGTGATTCTTTTGAGTCCGCTTTCGCCTGCCGTCGTTTACGATCAAGTGAAAACTGGGTCGTCGGAGTTGCAAGCAGACACGGAAGAACTAAACCAATCACAAAGCGTGGGAACGTGCATTGTGATTATATTGCATTATCCTTCCGCTTCTGCTTCCGTCCCTGACAAGCTGGTTTTCACTAGATCATAAGCGGAACGTAAGCGATGAAGTCGTAAGCGGAATCGGAAGAAAATAGAAACGCTCTGATTCTTCTGACTCCGATTCCGTCGTGCTAGTGACTCCCGTTTACGATTCCGACTTGGACTCCGTCGCTAGTGAAAACCATCCTTTAGTGAGAAGCAGCATAACTTTTCAGTGGCAGAGTTCATTTGACAGTTTCACCGCGGAAAGAAAGTAACGGTAGATCAATGCAGAAAAAACCTCTGAAATCAAAATGCTGGTATTGTTAGTATTATTAGCCATCAAGCCCTTTGTTTTGAGACTGGGGGAGGAGTGGGAAGGGTGGGGACGCTAATTAACAATTATTGGACGAGGTTGAGCAAAATATCGTGATTTGTCTGTAGCGAGCAGATCAATTATTTGCCGAGGCCGAAGGCTGAGGCAAGTAATTGATCTGCGAGACACTGACAAACCACGATGTTTTGCGATAACCGGGTTCAATAATTGTTTGATCATTCGATCACCGAGTTTGCTTTTTAACGAATATCCTTGGGAAGCGAAGCGATCTGCCATTTTCACGCAAGAGCGATCGCAAGAAGGAGAAAAGCACGGTTTCCTTTACGCATGAGCAGAATATTATTTGCAGCCAAACACTGTTGGACGGCATTGTACATGAGCAGACCATTATTTGTAGGCAGTTATTTCTAGGTCACGTGGTGGGCCCTCGGCCAATGAAAAGAAAGAAAAATTTGCTGCGAATGATAATCTCGCTTACTAGTAAGGACAGGAAACTTTTTAACATAACCAAAATATACTTTATTTATATAACATCTCCTTGGTTTATTTGATTTGGCGAGTGTAAAATATCGTTATATCGGGGTAAACATATTGAACTTATGAAAACAGATCATACATATGGATCGCGCACTGTATATTCAACCCTGTTCAAGGCAGATTCGTTGCTGGACGATACCCTGTTCAAGACACTAACTGGTGAAATTCTGTACGCTGTGTAAGACGCAAGATCAAATACCCATACCCTGTCTGGTGTCACTGGCTCAGTCAGTCACATCCACCTTTGGACCAAATGGCAGAGTGAGCCCAGGGTTTAGAGCCAACTTACCGACAGCTCTGCGTTTCCTTCTAGAGTCGGTTACACCGTTTCGTGAGTAGTATTTCCCGTCTCCAACTGGGAATTCTGTTGTAAACTTGCCCTTTCGAAACTCGGCAGTAATGTAAGGCTTGCCTTCCTGCCGAGTATCATAAGTCAGGTCGACTGTTTCGTATTTAGCATCCGCAGAGTTTCCGGGATCGTCTTCCTTTCCCTTTAATGGCGTGACGATCATCTGAAAATAGCTGCAGAGATAATACAAGGTATAGTTAGATAACTATGATGGAATTATTCTCCCGAAAGCGGTTACTTCGAGGTCACATAAAAGTTAACTTTGAACCTGTTTCACGCCAAAGTTTCCAAGCAGGCAACACTTTAAGTCTATGAGGTCAAAGCTTTGACCTGCGAAATCTATGGCTTCTACGGTTACTATGGTTTCTCCCCGACAAGGAAGTCGGATGAAAAGGCTGCAGAAATTCTTTCTAACGGCTCATAAATTTCAACAAATAGAGGTTTTCCTTTGTGGGCTTTTCAACTACATAAAAATAAAAATAAAAAAAACACAAACACACTTCATGAAGGATATATAGACCCCAAGATGGATGGATCAGTTCTGGAGTAGAGCAAAGTATATGGCGGACTTACGTAACTGGCTTGCCACTGCTTAAGGTTGCCTTGTTAACAAACGGCACTTTAACTTCATTTGTTCCAATGGCATCTCCTTGAGGCGGCGATATTGTCGGCACGGCTACAACAAACAAACAACAACAATTTAGTACTTAGAAGTGTAGAGTTGATGAAGTTTTTCTTCTTTAAGTTGAGGAGCCTCATTTTATGAATGTGGGTTTTCGAAACTTGAAAATTGTCTTTTATACGCGAAACTAAATCGCGAATCAGTTTTTCTTCTTAACGATCGTTTTTTGTTGATATACATGTATCTGAAATAATGGTGTTGGTTTCTCCTTTTAAGTTAGCTTCGGGCAATTTTTGTCGAGGCTCTTTGTAGAAGACTACAAGTGGACAGATTGAGACCATAAACGGCTAAGACGACTTTTTGCAAAATGTCTAAAAGTATCACCTCCAGGGAGTCTCAGCTACCGAAAATTTTGCAAGAGTTTATTTTTTCGGATTGGCGATTTTTTGTGTTTTGCGGGAACTAATTTTTGCGTTCAGGACAAGGTGGTTTTTCTTGCTGGGAATTAATTTTTGCGATTTTCAGGAAGTACCCAGTACCAAGCCTGGATAAAATTTTCGTTTTTGTTAAGTACGTGCAGCAAGAAATACATATTTTCAAACAAAACTACGGTATGGGTACCCTATGTTAAACTAGTATTTCATTGTATACCGTCTTGTTTCTGAATGAAAGAGGCAAGTTTCAATTGAATGAACAGACGGGATTTCTTAGTACTGTCTTTTTGTGTACCGAATTTGAAGAATATTTACTCTGGAGTTAATTTTTGCAGATAAAATGCTTGCAGCAATTTACATTTGGGGGAACTTGTTTTGCAGATCGCTGAAAAAATCACAAAAATCGCAAAAATTAGAACCCGCAAAAATTTCCTGCCACACGGTATGCTAAATGAACTCTTGTCGCTCACGCGAGAAGCAAAACAAAGGTGCAACAGTGATAATAGCAATACGGCGCTGACGACACATTTGGTTTGATCTTGTGGCTAGCTCTGCCTAGCTGCGAGAGGTTCTTCCACGGTTCCGGGTACACCAGTTTAGCGAATCATACAAATGCATTTCACGAGATCCCTGGAATATTTGTAAACAATGCTCTTACAAAGTGACAAACTTTTAATTTATTTCATTTATTTATATTATTTTTATCTATTTGTTTTACATCCAACAGATTTGATAAATACAAAAACAACTATTTACCTCAGGGTCGGTGCAAGGAACTAGACCATTCTTCATTCCCAAACCTCAACCCCCCACACCCCCCACACCCCCGGCTTCGAGGGGTAGCTGTGTAGTGTCCTTTACCTTTTGTCGTAGCCGTGATAGGGTCACTAAATGGTCCATAACCTACTGAAGTTGCAGCCGCAATCCGAAACTGATATTCTGCCTTCTGCCTCAGTCCATTAACAGTTGCATTTACAGCGGGTGCTTTGACGGTCACTGCGCCATTTCCTTTATTTTCCACGTCTCTGAAGTGTATGGTGTAATTTCTGATAATGCCATTCTGGGACGCTCGAGGAACAGGTTTCCATTTCAAGAAAACACTGGTAGTGTCTAATACCGTCACGCTGGTTATTTCCGGAGACTCAGAAGGCTCTGTAAAAAAAAAAAAAAAACACGTTTGGAATTAGCTGCCCCTTGATTATTTAACAATTATTGAATGAGGCGGAGTAGGATGTGTTCGGCTTAGTTTTACAACGCTCTCCTCGATCGGCAAAATTCTACACATCATACAAAAGATAAATTCAAAAAAATTCATCATACGAAAGCTAAATTCAATATTCATTCACAGCATTTCTAAGTTCTTAACAAAGCCACCTCCTCGTAGACTTTCTTCAAAACTTTAGCACGGTTTCAGAATGTAAACAGACGTTTTCTTTCCTTACAAATTCTCCTCAATGGTAGACAACATCCATCGAGCATTATGTTTGGCAAATTCTTGCATTCTTCCGTTCAGTTTTAACCAGAAATTCAGCTATTTCGTCTTCACAAAGCCGTAAACACCATATATATATATTTTCTAAAGTTCACTCGGGAATAGAAAGCTAGGCTTCTCGGCGCGTCTTGAAACGAGGTTGATCGATGCGATATTTGCCTGGAAACGAGGCTGCCCAATCGATGGTATTCGATAGTATTTGGTCAACGCCAACTGGTTATGAAGAATTAGGCGGGGAATTTGAAGCAATCTGAAACGGCGGAATATTTTGAATAAACAATAGTAGAAATTTTTGGATAAAGTTGAGGATAGACCTCTTTCGTAATGGTGGCCCATTTATTTATTCTTTCGTATGTATAATAAGTCGGATTTTGAAAAAGTTATCGCCAAATGGACCTTTTGCGTCCAACAGTTTTTTTCGGCCAAAAACTCCAAAGTCGCTATTACTGAAAAACTAAGAATGCAACCAATGCCTTTTTTCTCTTCTCCTCCTTTCCTTCTCCTCGCTCCTTCTTTTTCTCCTTTTCCTTTTCCTGTGATTTTGGAGCTTCTCGGGCTTAAGAAACCTTCCTTTTGACGCCTTTTCACTCAAATGACTGCAAATTTCCTTAAGTTGGTTTTCAAAAAATCGGTTGGATATAAATGGGCCCTTCTGATCTCGTTTGAAAGTAAGAATTATTTTGTAATTTGCACATGCTATTTGGTCAGAAAGGCTTATTATCATACATATAAAAGAATATAATTATTAAAAGACCGTTATTATGAAAGCGCTCTAGGGTCTAAAGAATACCGTAAATGATCTAATAGACGCCAACTCTCAAATAAACGCCTCTTATTTGAAAAACGCCAGCTCTACAACGTTAAGTTTGTACTAGATGCATCTCTGTAACAAACGCTCCCTGTCTAATAGGCGCCCCCCGTGACATTTACTCCAAAATATTAGGAACTGGAAAAAAGGATCAGAATCATTCAATTTGTTCAGTTTCTTAAGCATTATATTTTATTCACTATCAAGTTCAAATAAGGATGGACTAACGATGACAACACAATGACTCTCGGCGAGTATTGTGACATCGTTGCATTTGTTCATCAGTTGAGATTTGAAAGAGCGATAGGGATCTCAAGACGGCCTAGTCGCATCAATTGATGGACTGGATATTCCGCTATTGTTAAACTCTTTTGATATTTTCGTCGAAAGCATATTGGTTTTGTTGAACTTGTTACAGTTATGAAAATAAACGACTCCTTGGACCGTTAAAGTTTAATAAACCTTTCGGGTGTCAATTAGATCATTTACGGTAAGGCAGATCGAGGAGGATAATAAGAGATCTGCATAATTCTTCAGATCATAGGAAAGGACGTGTCTTTTAACTACTTCAGAAAATATAATGGTCGAGAAAAGAAACCAAAAGATTTTTTATTTGCTACCCTCTGTGAAAAACATTACTTTGTGAAAGAGCAAGGAGCACCCCTTATCACAAGTTGTATTTCTGCTTCCTTTGCTCCAAGAGGTTTTTTTCCCGGTACTCCGGTATTCCCCTCTCCGTAAAAACCGACACTTCCAAATTCCAATTCGATCTGGAACGCACGGACACGTTTCAACGAGTTCATAAGAACTCCTAAGTGCTCCGTGGGTAAACAAGTTATAATTTACATAACATTTACAAAAATTTAAAACAATTTGAAAACTCACTGTCTTCATCAGTACGAAGAGTGATAGGTTCACTGACAATTCCACCTCCTTTGACAGTAGAGGCAAACACTGTGATCGTGTAGTTGGTGTGCTCATCAAGACCCATCAGTGTTGCTTCAGTTGTTGGGGCACTGACTACCTTGGTTTGTTGACTGACACCAGGAGGCGTCCAGTAGGTAACTGTGTAACTCAGTATAATGCCATTCTGATCAGCTGCGGGAACATCACCCCACTCAACCAAAATACTGGTAGGACTTCTTATGTATCCCTGGACATTAGATGGAGGAGCATTGGGCTCTGTTGAGAAAAAAAGGAGACACATTGATCAAATGCATTCTTAAAGGAGCTGTGTCAAGTCTGTCTCGTTCATTTTGTTAAAAATGCCAATTACGAGATGAAACTTGAGAAATTACCTGTGAATGACTAAATCACAGCTTTGTGTCAAACAAAATATATCTCCCAAGCATCATATCAATCGTTACAAACGACCACAAATAAACTTTGAAAAACTGTTAGGAGCACAAGTTTTCAAAAACCACAATTGCAATCTCCTTCAGTCTTCTTCCAGTTTGTCCATCCGTCCTTCGTTTTGTATTTGCTGCGTCATTCATACCTTCTTCTAACTTGCTTTTTGAGCGGTTATTATTTCACTCAATTTGGAGGCAGTTCCCATGCCAATGTTTGAATTTTGATAGATTTCGTGACACACGGCTCCTTTTTGGCGACTAGTGCGGTAAATAGTAAATACCATCGGATCCATATCGTCTCAACTATGATAAGTCTTAACGTCGACAGTTTCCCGTGTTCTTTCAAGCCTTACCGCGTTCTCCAAGCCGAGGAGCAAAACTATACAAAAAGCACTTTTTACAACATATATCCTGCCTTCATCTAAACAAGCAACAAATTAAATTCAAATAGCAGCCAAATTCTCGCCATCTCCATCTAATGACCCCATCACAAGACCTACCGATCCAAAACCACGCTACGGAACTGTCAGTCAACAATATACCGTATTTTACTATATTTAAGCGGAAGCGATTTGTTATGATGAAATACTTTCCACAACAACGATTAACTTACTATCTTCATCCGTGATTACAAAAGTAGGTGCACTAGCATTTCCATCTCCCTTTACAGTAGAGGCAAACACTGTAATGCTGTAGTTGGTGTATTCATTGAGTCCTGTTAGATTTGCTTGAGTTATTGGAGCATCCACTACCTTGGTTTGTTCACTGCCATTAGGAAGCGCTGTGTAGTTAACTGTGTATCTCAGTATGATGCCATTTTGATCAGCTGGTGGCACTTTCCCCCACTCAACCAAAATGCTGGTAGAACTTGTGTTGCGTCCCCGGACTTTAGATGGAGGGGCATTTGGCTCTAAGTAACAATTAAAGAAGAAAAAAAAGAGACTCATTTTATACAGAAAGATTATCAAAAAACACAACGCGGTATTAAAACGAGTTTGATATTCCTTTCATTAATGACACAATTTACGCACAACAAATTCACTGCGAAATGTACCACATTTGCTTGAAATTAAGACATAAGCAACTCATCATCGAAATTGACACCAAAGTAAATAAATAGATAAATAAATACATAAATAGTGTTCTAAGAGATTTTGGCGCGAGCGTGCATTGATAAACAACGGCTGTTTAATGCAAATCTCCTAATACGAAATGGCAACTTACTGTCTTCATCTGTGATGACAATAATAGGTTTGCTAACATTTCCGCCTCCCTTGAAAGTTGATGCAAACACTGTGATGCTGTAGTTGGTGTATTCATTGAGTCCTGTCAGTGTTGTGTCAGTTGCTGGAGCATCCACTACCTTGGGTTGTGGAATGCCATTAGGAAGAGCTGTGTAGGTAACTGTGTATTTCAGTATGATGCCATTTTGATCAGCTGCGGGAACATCACCCCACTGAACGAAAATACTGGTAGAACTTGTGTTACGTCCTTGAACATTGGATGGGGGAGCCTTTGGTTCTGTATTACAAGGAAACGAGAAAAAAAGTAAAATAGACATTTAACAGACAGAAATAAGCAGAGAGACAAGCGCCGTACGTTTAGCAAGTAACATGTGGTTCTTACGGCTAAACAATTGGTCCAGTCGTGTGTTTTGGTGGACTTAACATTTTTTGTTCATATTCGTTAATAGATAACTAACTGATGAGTTTGAAACTGCCTTTTTTTATTTCCAGTTCATTGATAATGGCGTCTTGAAGTCACCGAAACGGCGGAAAATTAGTTTTTACATGTTGTTTCTCCAAATCATTACTAAAGGCTGAGGAGTTTTTTTTGCTGCGCATATACTTGCGACTTGACTTGGCTGTGATCATCACCTAGCTAAATCACGTAAAATTACAACCATCAAAGCCGTGTTTGCGACTTGCCTTTTTTCGATTTAAAGATAAAATGATCGCGAAACCAGACAAGCTCAGTACGTTGTTGTGAAAACTAGTCTTGACGCGAGGAAAACAATGTCATTATTCCACATTATTCCAAGCATCCTGCTTCCTGGAGCAGAATGCTTGGAAAATATTCCGCTTATTCCAGAACTGAAATAGCAGGTCAATCCAACAAATATTCCAGATTATTCTATCTTAACCTATTCCACAATAAAATGACGGTGGATCGAACGAGCCCTTAAAAAATTCCCCTGATTGAGCGCTGACGAAAGCTAGCGCGTGCTCAAGGAAGTGATACTGTAATCAACTTTTAAGGGACTATCATTTGTTTTTACGGTAGAGTTGGTTAGGCGTTAGCGAACGTCCGCTTTCATTTACAATTCGATCAGAGTGAAACAGTTTATCCATTTTACCAGAGAGTGTTAAATGACACAAGTTATATTAACTTACTATCTTCATCCGTAATAACAACAATAGGCGCACTAGCATTTCCATCCCCTTTAACAGTGGAGGCAAACACTGTGATGCTGTAGTTGGTGTATTCATTGAGTCCTGTCAGTGTTGTGTCAGTTGCTGGAGCATCTACTACCTTGGGTTGTGGACTGCCATTAGGAAGAGCTGTGTAGGTAACTGTGTATTTCAGTATGATGCCATTTTGATCAGCTGCGGGAACATCACCCCACTGAACGAAAATACTGGTAGAACTTGTGTTACGTCCTTGAACATTGGATGGGGGAGCCTTTGGTTCTGTATTACAAGGAAACGAGAAAAAAAGTAAAATAGACATTTAACAGACAGAAAATAAGCAGAGAGACAAGCACCGTACGTTTAGCAAGTAACATGTGGTTCTTACGGCTAAACAATTGGTCCAGTTGTGTGTTGTTGTGGACTTAACATTTTTTGTTCATATTGATGAGTTTGAAACTGCCTTTTTTATTTCCAGTTCATTGATAATGGCGTCTTGAAGTCACCGAAACGGCAGAAAATTAGCTTTCACATGTTGTTTCTCCAAATCATTATTAACGGCTGAAGAGTTTCTTTTGCTGCATATGTACTTGCAACTTGACTTGGCTGTGATCATCACCTAGCTAGATCACGTAAAATTACAACCATCAAAGCCGTGTTTGCGACTTGCCTTTTTTCGATCTAAAGAAAAAATGATCGCGAAACCACACAAGCTCAGTACGGTGTTGTGAAAACTAGTCTTGACGCGAGGAAAACAATGTTATCATTCCACATTATTCCAAGCATCCTGCTTCCTGGAGCAGAATGCTTGGAAAATATTCCGCTTATTCCAGAACTGAAATAGCAGGTCAATCGAACAAATATTCCAGATTATTCTATCTTAACCTATTCCACAATACGGTGAATCGAACGAGCCCGTAAAAACTGCCCCTGATTGAGCGCTGACGAAAGCTAGCGCGTGCTCAAGGAAGTAATACAGCTGTAATCAACTATTAAGGGACTATCATTTGTTTTTACAGAAGAGGTTGTAAGGCTTTAGCGAACATCGCGTGCATTTACAATTCGCTCAGAATTAAACAGTTTATCCGTTTCATCAGAGAGTGTTAAATGACACCAGTTATATTAACTTACTATCTTCATCTGTAATAACAACAATAGGAGCACTAGCATTTCCATCCCCTTTAACAGTGGAGGCAAACACTGTGATGCTGTAGTTGGTGTATTCATTGAGTCCTGTCAGTGTTGTGTCAGTTGCTGGAGCATCCACTACCTTGGGTTGTGGACTGCCATTAGGAAGAGCTGTGTAGGTAACTGTATATTTCAGTATGATGCCATTTTGATCAGCTGCGGGAACATCACCCCACTGAACGAAAATACTGGTAGAACTTGTGTAACGTCCTTGAACATTGGATGGGGGAGCCTTTGGTTCTGTATTACAAGGAAACGAGAACAAAAGTAAAATAGACATTTAACAGACAGAAATAAGCAGAGAGACAAGCGCCGTACGTTTAGCAAGTAACATGTGGTTCTTACGGCTAAACAATTGGTCCAGTCGTGTGTTGTGGTGGACTTAACATTTGTTGTTCATATTCGTTAATAGATAACTAACTGATGAGTTTGAAACTGCCTTTTTTATTCCTAGTTCATTGATAATGGCGTCTTGAAGTCACCGAAACGGCGGAAAATTAGCTTTGTTTATTGTTTTGTTTGCCAAAAATTATACAAATCAAATAAAATCTAATTACCTTAACTCTCATGGCGAGGAAGCCCAAGAGAAGCCACCGGGCTTATAAGGAATGGGCTCCCTCAGTTAGATAATTAGAACAAAATATTATCATAATTACACACGGGAAAATCAATGGCAGAGCTACAGTAAATCTTAAAATAAGTATATTAGATAGTCGTACTAATCATAGTTCTAGGCTAAAAAAAGCGAAATGACAAAAAGAAAAAAACAAAACAAAACAAAATAAAATAAAAGAGCAAAGGAAGAAAAAAAAATACATATATACATATATATAAATTACTATTTATCACGGTTTGCAAATTTTATTGATGAGTGTAGTCACTGTGACTTCTGCTTCACAAATTTTGGAGTCATTTTGGAATATTTGGAGTCAAGTATCACAATAAAAAAAGCCATTTTTAGACTTTCCAGCACGTGGTCCTGGCATGTATACACTATCGTGAAGGATACACTAAGTAGCTGTGGCGGTCCGCTGACCTGGAAAGCTCAAATCCATGATGGCGGTCATCGAGTAAACTTTGATCGCACTTTACGGCCCTCTTCCTGTTTTTGTCGTGCAGTATAATTCTTTAATTTTGATGATTTAATTAAGGTTTACAACGTTTACAATTAACGTAAATTGTGTTTGTTGCGAAAAAGGTAAGGACAAAACTGTGTTAGTTACCGAAAATTTCTGGAGTCGAAGTGGCTCCCTGTTTGTTACCGAAAATTTCTCGAGTCGAAGTGACTTCCTCTGTAACCTCTATGGAGTCATCTGAACAATTTTGGCGTAAAATACGCCAAATTTGGCGTATTTGCGAACCCTGTATTTATGATAAGAGGAGTGCTTTCAGCTTACAGCAAAAGGAAGCGGTACTTGTTGCATTTCGAATTTCAAAACTAAGAGAGTTAAAAAATTTAGGACCTTGGAAACTGAAGGAGAACTTTCTTATATTAGTCCTACATTGTGGTAAACAAAAATGCTCCGAGCTTCTAGTGCCATAAGAATGCACCTGGCGTGTCACCAGAAACATGTTATTGAAGCTATAAGGAAGTAAGCCAGATCTGTATTGATACATAAATTTTCCTATTTGAAGTTTGTAGATACTCTCAAGATTCAGAATTTTTAAATTTTTAAATAAGGGGTCAGTGTGAGCATCGAAAGCACTCCTCGACATTATTCTTACGACCCGTTTTTGAAGTGTGATTAATCTTCTGAGGTTTGATGGGTAGGTCGATGCCGAAACGCTCACGCAGTAGAATAAGTATGGGTAGATAAGGCTAAAATAAAGCATCCGTAAGGAGGAATTATTAAGGCAAAAACTTGATTTATAAATTATACCTATGGCTTTAGACACTTTCCTAGCAACATTATGTATATGTGATTTCCATGTTAAATGTTCATCCAAAATTACACCAAGAAAAGTAGCTTCCTTAACACGGTCAATCGAATAATTACTAATAGCGGAGCTCTCGCGCGCGAAGCGCGCGCAGCGGAGCACCATGGGTAAAGAAATGTGGTAAACTACCCATCCGAGATAATTTGGTAATCACGTGACCGTACACCGACCGCCCGCCCGACCGTCCGTCCGCACCACAGGCATACCAATGTAAAATAATTCAATCAACAGGTATGGCAACCAAAATGCAACTCAAGGTTTTATTTGGAAAGAAATCGCATGGCCGCCCGGACTTTTAGAAAGAAAAAACAACAACAAAGCCGTGTCTTTTTCGACGTTATTTGAGAGAAAGAGCTAGAGCGAGTGATTGAAAACAAAAAAAACGAATTTTGTAGGAAGAAAAACATGAAAATTCAAAGCGGCTGTGAGAAAATGAGAAATGCTAGCGGCCAGCAAGGTGAAAATGAGCGGCAGTGAAAAATAAAAGCGAAGAACACAGGAGACACAATATTGGGTAAGCACATACGACAATTCCTCCATAAAAATAATGTGTAACTAGGAAGTTTGGCGTTTTAGTCCTACAAAACAGCGTTGTAGTTGTGCAAAACAACGCAAAAAAAGACAAAAAGCGTGCTGCACGTGCAAATTTGTTTTTTTTGCTAATTAGAAATGTGTGCTGCACGTGCAATTTGTTTTAGGCTAATTAGATCTATTGATCTTGATGCCATTTTCATTGCCCTGCCCGTTTAGCATTACAAGATTTCATTTTGTTTTGTTTACAAGTATTATTAACCAGAGCTTCGCTTTTAGCCCTGGCTAAATCTATATATTATTAAAAGCTAAATCAAGTGTTTGCCTGTTTTGTCTCGGTCTGAATATGATAAAATTAGATTTCTTAACATTAATAGATAGCTTATTTGTATAAAACCAACACGTTATCTTTTTCAATTCTAAATTTACAACTTCCATAAGATAGGAAGCATCAGTATGCGAATAGAAGATATTAGTGTCATAAGCAAATAGTATCAGCTCTAAGACCTTTGACATATTACATAGATCATTTATATATACTAAGAATAACAGGGGACCTAAGATAGATCCCTGAGGGACTCCGCAAGTGATATAGAGTTGTAACCATTATATTGCACAAATTGTTTTCGACAAGATAGATAACTTTTAAACCATTGTAAAGCAATACCACGTACTCCATAATGTTCTAATTTGTCGAGCAAAATTTCATGACTTACTGTATCAAAGGCCTTAGATAAGTCAATGAATAGGCCTAAAGTTACCCTTTTATTATCAAGTGCATTTGAGATCTTGTCATACAATTGGATTAAAGCATGTGCAGTAGAATAATTTTTTCTGAATCCATACTGATTCCGGGAAAGAATATCATATTTATTTAAAAAATTAATGAGGCGATTGTAGACGATTCTCTCTAGGAATTTAGAGAAAACTGGTAACACTGATACGGGTCTGTAATTTGTGAACAAAGATTTATCACCAGATTTAAACAATGGAATAACTCGTGCAATTTTCATCTCTTGGGGCACAACTCCAGAATTAAGAGACAAGTTAATTATATACGTCAATGGTGCGCAGATTAAGTTAAAAGACTCTTTAACAACATTCATTGAAATACTATCATATCCTGGAGCAGCACCGGATCGAAAGCTGCTACAAATCTCAGTGACTTCTTGTTCTGATGCCAATTGAAGAAAAAATGAATTAATAAAGCCTCCATTCAGAAAAGAACGATGAGATTTGTCAGACGCCGGAATCGATTTAGCTAAGTTAGGTCCAATATTCGTAAAATACTCGCAAAAACGGTTTGCTATATGAGTAGGATTACATATTTCTTCTTCATTAGATTTGAAGGTGGAAGGCAACTTACACTTAATTTTCTTCTTGTTAATAAGATCGTTAAGTAATTTCCAAGTTTATTTTGCATTTGATTTATATTCATCTAACTTTTTATTGTAGTAGAGACGTTTAGCAACGCGAAGGGAATGTGTCAATTTGTTTTTATAACTCTTGTAAAGTTTCTCACGATATGGAGTTGGGTTAGCAAGGAAACGCTTGTATAATAAATTCTTTTTTCTTACCGATTTAAGAAGACCTTTAGTTATCCATGGTTTGCTCAAAGTAACATTCTTTACTTTCACTTTTTTGAGAGGAAAGCAGTCATTGTAAATGGTAGTGTATTTATCAAGAAAACACCGATAAGCGCAATCAGTATCTTTACATTCAGATAATTCATCCCAATGAACGTTTGCAAGCCTATCTTAAAACTTAGCGACATTATTTCCACTTTTATCACGAAAAGAAAGCCAAGAAGTTTTATTTAAGTTCTTGTTTTCATCAAAAAGCAGTGTGAAAATCGGAAGATGATCAGATATATCACAAAACATCAGCCCGCTAACAGATAAGTTGTTTAAATTATTCGTCAAAATATTATCAATTAGCGTAGCCGTGTTAGAAGTTATTCTTGTCGGACGTGTGATCAATGGAAAAAACATTCTTGAATACATAGTTTCTAACAATTCTCCAGTTGTGTCGTGACAATGGTGGTTGATTAAGTCTAGATTCCAGTCACCTAAAACATAGCAAATCTTGTTTTCCTTAGAGATACTTGCAAGCAACGAATCCAGGCTATTCATAAAATCTCGTAAATTTGAATTTGGTGGCCTGTAAACCACACCTACAATTATATTTTTCTCTTTCGGCCTATTGATTTCCACAAACAAAGACTCAGCACATTCAGTGCAAGAAAAAACTAAGTCAGGTCGACATTTAAAATCAAAATTGTCCGCTAAATATAGACCTACAACTCCACCTCGAGACCTCCACAACTCCACATGTTGTTTCTCCAAATCATTATTAACGGCTGAAGAGTTTTTTTTGCTGCATATGTACTTGCAACTTGACTTGGCTGTGATCATCACCTAGCTAGATCACGTAAAATTGCAACCATCAAAGCCGTGTTTGCGACTTGCCTTTTTTCGATCTAAAGAAAAAATGATCGCGAAACCACACAAGCTCAGTACGGTGTTGTGAAAACTACTCTTGACGCGAGGAAAACAATGTCATCATTCCACATTATTCCAAACATCCTGCTTCCTGGAGCAGAATGCTTGGAAAACATTCCGCTTATTCCAGAACTGAAATAGCAGGTCAATCGAACGAATATTCCAGATTATTCTATCTTAACCTATTCCACAATACGGTGAAACGAACGAGCCCGTAAAAACTGCCCCTGATTGAGCGCTGACGAAAGCTAGCGCGTGCTCAAGGAAGTAATACAGCTGTAATCAACTTTTAAGGGACTATCATTTGTTTTTACAGAAGAGGTGGTAAGGCTTTAGCGAACATCGCGTGCATTTACAATTTGCTCAGAATTAAACAGTTTATCCGTTTTATCAGAGAGTGTTAAATGACACCAGTTATATTAACTTACTATCTTCATCTGTAATAACAACAATAGGAGCACTAGCATTTCCATCCCCTTTAACAGTGGAGGCAAACACTGTGATGCTGTAGTTGGTGTATTCATTGAGTCCTGTCAGTGTTGTGTCAGTTGCTGGAGCATCCACTACCTTGGGTTGTGGACTGCCATTAGGAAGAGCTGTGTAGGTAACTGTGTATTTCAGTATAATGCCATTTTGATCAGCTGCGGGAACATCACCCCACTGAACGAAAATACTGGTAGAACTTGTGTTACGTCCTTGAACATTGGATGGGGGAGCCTTTGGTTCTGTATTACAAGGAAACGAGAAAAAAAGTAAAATAGACATTTAACAGACAAAAAATAAACAGAGAGACAAACGCCGTACGTTTAGCAAGTAACATGTGGTTCTTACGGCTAAACAATTGGTCCAGTCGTGTGTTGTGGTGGACTTAACATTTGTTGTTCATATTCGTTAATAGATAACTAACTGATGAGTTTGAAACTGCCTTTTTTATTTCCAGTTCATTGATAATGGCGTCTTGAAGTCACCGAAACGGCGGAAAATTAGCTTTCACATGTTGTTTCTCCAAATCATTATTAACGGCTGAAGAGTTTGTTTTGCTGCATAAGTACTTGCAACTTGACTTGGCTGTGATCATCACCTAGCTAGTTGACGTAAAATTACAACCATCAAAGCCGTGTTTGCGACTTGCGTTTTTTCGATCTAAAGAAAAAATGATCGCGAAACCACACAAGCTCAGTACAGTGTTGTAAAAACTAGTCTTGACGCGAGGAAAACAATGTCATCATTCCACATTATTCCAAACATCCTGCTTCCTGGAGCAGAATGCTTGGAAAATATTCCGCTTATTCCAGAACTGAAATAGCAGGTCAATCGAACAAATATTCCAGATTATTCTATCTTAACCTATTCCACAATACGGTGAATCGAACGAGCCCGTAAAAACTGCCCCTGATTGAGCGCTGACGAAAGCTAGCGCGTGCTCAAGTAAGTAATACAGCTGTAATCAACTATTAAGGGACTATCATTTGTTTTTACAGAAGAGGTGGTAAGGCTTTAGCGAACATCGCGTGCATTTACAATTTGCTCAGAATTAAACAGTTTATCCGTTTTATCAGAGAGTGTTAAATGACACAAGTTATATTAACTTACTATCTTCATCTGTAATAACAACAATAGGAGCACTAGCATTTCCATCCCCTTTAACAGTGGAGGCAAACACTGTGATGCTGTAGTTGGTGTATTCATTGAGTCCTGTCAGTGTTGTGTCAGTTGCTGGAGCATCCACTACCTTGGGTTGTGGAATGCCATTAGGAAGAGCTGTGTAGGTAACTGTGTATTTCAGTATAATGGCATTTTGATCAGCTGCGGGAACATCACCCCACTGAACGAAAATACTGGTAGAACTTGTGTTACGTCCTTGAACATTGGATGGGGGAGCCTTTGGTTCTGTATTACAAGGAAACGAGAACAAAAGTAAAATAGACATTTAACAGACAGAAATAAGCAGAGAGACAAGCGCCGTACGTTTAGCAAGTAACATGTGGTTCTTACGGCTAAACAATTGGTCCAGTCGTGTGTTTTGGTGGACTTAACATTTTTTGTTCATATTCGTTAATAGATAACTAACTGATGAGTTTGAAACTGCCTTTTTTATTTCCAGTTCATTGATAATGGCGTCTTGAAGTCACCGAAACGGCGGAAAATTAGCTTTCACATGTTGTTTCTCCAAATCATTATTAACGGCTGAAGAGTTTCTTTTGCTGCATATGTACTTGCAACTTGACTTGGCTGTGATCATCACCTAGCTAGATCATGTAAAATTACAACCATCAAAGCCGTGTTTGCGACTTGCCTTTTTTCGATCTAAAGAAAAAATGATCGCGAAACCACACAAGCTCAGTACGGTGTTGTGAAAACTAGTCGTGACGCGAGGAAAACAATGTCATTATTCCGCTTTATTCCAAGTATCCTGCTTCCTGGAGCAGAATGCTTGGAAAATATTCCGCTTATTCCAGAACTGAAATAGCAGGTCAATCGAACGAATATTCCAGATTATTCTATCTTAACCTATTCCACAATATGGTGAATCGAACGAGCCCTTAAAAACTGCCCTTGATTGACCGCTGACGAAAGCTAGCGCGTGCTCAAGGAAGTAATACAGCTGTAATCAACTTTTAAGGGACTATCATTTGTTTTTACAGAAGAGTTGGTAAGGCTTTAGCGAACATCGCGTGCATTTACAATTCGCTCAGAATTAAACAGTTTATCCGTTTTATCAGAGAGTGTTAAATGACACAAGTTATATTAACTTACTATCTTCATCCGTGATTACAACAATAGGCGCACTAGCATTTCCATTTCCTTTCACAGTAGAGGCAAACACTGTGATGCTGTAGTTTGTGTATTCATTGAGTCCTGTAAGTGTTGTGTCAGTTGCTGGAGCATCCACTACCTTGGGTTGTGGACTGCCATTAGGAAGAGCTGTGTAGGTAACTGTGTATTTCAGTATGATGCCATTTTGATCAGCTGCGGGAACATCACCCCACTGAACGAAAATACTGGTAGAACTTGTGTTATGTCCTTGCACATTAGATGGAGGGGCACTGGGCTCTGACGGAATAACAAAGAAGAGAACACAGAAGATTAATCGAATAGATAAGGCTGCGTAGCTTGAGTTTCTTTATGTAAAAGTAAAAATATAATATAATTTAATTTATGACATAAAAAGGCACACTTACTGTCTTCATCCGTAATAACAGTGGTAGGCGCACTAGCATTTCCATTCCCTTTGACAGTAGAGGCAAACACTGTGATGCTGTAGTTGGTGAATTTATTGAGTCCTGTTAGAGTGGTTTCAGTCGTTGGAGCATCCACTACCTTAGTTTGTTGACTGCCACCAGGAAGAGCTGTGTAGGCAACTGTGTATCTCAGTATGATGCCATTTTGATCAGCTGGGGGAACATCACCCCAATGAACCAAAATACTGGTAGAACTTGTGTTATGTCCCTTGACATTAGATGGAGAAGCATTTGGCTCTGAGTAATAAAGAAGAAAACACAAATGAGAAAAAATAAATACACAGAGCACAATAAAAGTTATTATTTGACAATATATAGATAAAGCCAGAGCTAGAAAGAGAAGCTTCTGTTAGTACATTGAAACGGTAAATACATGGACCTGAAAAAAACAGCCTTCTGAGGATATTTTATCTCTCTTAAAAAAAAAAAACAAAAAAAACAAAGAGTTAGACTTAAGCCTCCGATCAATTTAAAGTTAATAACTGGACAGCGGAAAACTTAAAAAAAAAACACACGTTGACTGGATGAGTTGCTATCTGAGCCCGCGAAACGGTCATCTGATACTGGTCAGTGGATACCCTGTTTCAACACCTGTCAATAAAGCTTAACATTTTAAAACAGGTTACAGGCTGCCACACGTGTTAGAAAATGACACTTCACATTGGTTTGCCTGTGGTGTGGACGGACGGGTGGACGGGCGTACGGTCACGTAATTACTAAATTCTTTCGGATGCATAGATAACCAGACTTTATCACCCATAGTGCTTTCGCGCGAACGAGAGCTCCACTATATATATATAGTAGTGGGTGGACTACTCAATATGAGTACATATGGTGTTTAACAAAAATTTGTTTCGTAGACCAACAGAGTTGGTCCACTCATCAGTTAATTCCCATACAGACTGGGCTATCGTTAAGTTTACATCGCAACATGATCGTGCGACACTGCTAACAGTTGCTTATTTGAAACGCATATGAGGACTTATGAAAAAAGAAAAGAAAGTTGAATTCACAATTTCATGGAAAACAGACCATTTTACAGTTGTGACCTTATTACCCTAGCCTCTGAGTGAAAGTGACGCTAGGGTTGACCTTCTTTTGATAGAAACCTCTTTCGTTTTCTGATGAAAATTATGCTAAAAATACTGGTTAGCATAAACATAATACGGATTAACATAATAAAAGAGGTAGGGTTGTATCAAACAAGCTCAACTCCAGCCTCGTTTGCCCCTTAACTGTAAAACGGACTATTCTCGCAAGGGCTAGGGCGTACACTAACCTCACAAAACTTTGCAATTTATGTATTACCGAGAAATTTTTCATAATTTGTTATCCGCAAATGGCGACTTTAAACAAGCGCATTGAACTTGTATCTTCTTGCAGACATCGAAGAAAGTACATTCTTAAGTATAGCTAACGTACATTAAGCAGCCAATCATAAGCGCGCATATGCACTTCAGATGTTCAAATTAGCAACTGTTAGCAGTGTCGCACGATCATGTTGCGATGTAAACTTAACCATAACCCAACGTGTATGGGGATTAACTGATGAGTGGACCAACTCTATTGATGTACGAAACAAATTTGTATTACACTCCATATGTACTCATATTGAGTAGTCCACCTACTACTATTATAGCTCCTTCATTGTAGAGCACTATCCTGGATTTAGCAGTGAACATCACCTGCATTCACAGTAATTTTTAGGGAGTTATTATAACTCCAAAAATGGAGTACAAAATTTTAGGTACAGGATAACCCCTTTTATGGGTTTACTTTAACTCCTAATTTAACTCCAAATTTGGGGTCATTTTTACTCCTGAAAAAGATTGTTCATTTATCTTTGCCTGAATGTAGCGAAGCGTAATGAAACAAAAGATAAATGGTTTCTTGAATTCCCAAGCACAAGTGCATTTGTCGGCAGTGTGTTTTAAGTGCCGGCGTGAGATTATGGGAAGAAAGTGTGATATGTAAACTAGCAAGTATATATTCGCTGTACAGTAAACAAGTTTCATTGTGGATTTTTACAAGCGGACAGTTAAATTCTTAGCTCGTTTTTCCTATCTCGTCCATATGGCGCGGGGCCGTCGTGGTCGCCCTGCTTCAGTTCGTTCTCATGTTTCGAGAGTCAACGCGGACGTTGAAGACCCTGTTGTCCGGCCGTCCAGGTCAAGAGAACATCGAAGTTCAGGCCGTCGTAGTTCTCGCTCACATGTTGCAGCTTCGAGCGGTTCTGGTCGTAGTGCTTCGCCTTCGCGAAGGAGTGTCCGTGAGCGTTCGCACCGTAGAAGTCGCTCGGTTTCTCGCAGCCCTGAGCTCCCAACGTGGGCGAAGGAAATCTTAAAGGCCTTGGAGACGAAAACGCAAGAGGTCAAGGTTGTCAAAGAACAGCTCGACTCATTAAAACGCAAGTCTGCGGAGGAGGAGCCCGAGTTCAAATATAAGAGTAACAAGAAACAGTTCAAGTTCAACACTGACGTCAAGGATAAGTTTAACCAGATTTTAGAGAGGGCTGGGGCGGATGACGCCATCACTAAGATTGCCAACGAAGGTATGTCACTCCTTGATAACAGAAATAAGCTTATTTCTATTGCTGACCGGGATGGCTGGGACGTGGTAGAATATTTTGAGGCGGACCCACTCACTAAAAATGACGAAGAAGAAAAGAAACTTCGTGTCGCGCGCAAGGAAGCAGAGAGGTCTCGGGAGAAACGAAATCGAAAAAATAGTCTGAGAAGCAAAATGGGAGCTCGTTTTAAGTCTCAGTCTACATCTTCCAAAAGCGGCCCCAGTGCTAACTTTGGCCCATCACACAGAATCGTAGATTTCCGCCCAGACGTCGGTCAGCTTTTGGTTAATCCTGTACCGGAGAAAAAAGCTTCTGTTTATCGCTGCTTTGGTTGTGGCAAAGCAGGCCATTTTATCAAGGATTGTAAAGTTTCCTCTTCCGCTAAGTGACTAGCTGACTCTGATTTTGACGATTTTTCGGATCGCGGCGAGGCTGAACTTGACACGGGCGTTTCCTCAGTATTTTGGATTCGAGGCCGCTTGCGCAAGTTTTTGCATGTTTGGCGTTCTATTGGGGCCTCTTCTTTTGTTCTTAGTGTTATTGAAAGCGGTTATAAGTTACCATTTGTTTCAATTCCATTGAGGTATTTCTTTAGTAATCATAAAAGCGCTGTTGATAAAAGAGCTTTTGTTTGTGAAGCTATCGAGCAATTGTTGTTGGCGGGTAGCGCGGTGGAAGTCAAGCGTGACCAAGTTCATGTTTGCAGTCCCTTAGGTGTAGTTCCTAAAAAGAATGGCAAACTTCGATTGATTCTCGACCTTCGCTTTCTTAACAAGCACCTAGCCAAGCGTAAGTTTAAGTTCGAAGACCTTCGAGTCGTGGCGGAAATTCTTCAGCCAGGTGATTGGTTTTTTACTTTCGATCTTCGTAATGGCTACCATCATGTTGACATTTTTCAAGAGCATTGGAAGTATTTGGCTTTTTCGTTTACTTTCGATGGTAAGCCACGCTATTTTTTTTTTTGTTCGCTTCCTTTTGGTTTAAGTACGTCTCCTTACGTTTTCACCAAATTGTTAAGACCAGTTGTTTCACACTGGCGGTCACAAGGCATTAGGATTTCTGTCTATTTGGACGACGGTATCGGCACCGATTCAAGTAAAGATTCGTGTTCTCAGGAAGCGCAACTAGTGCGAGGCGATCTTGATCGCCTTGGCCTGCTAGTGAATGAGGAGAAGAGCAATTTTGAACCGCGCCAAAAAGGGGAGCACTTAGGCTTTATTTTGGACCTTACCAAAGGAGAATTTAGTATCCCACCAGGCAAGATTGATCATCTGTTTAATCTGATTTCACTGCTTCTTGACGATGTTTCACCCACGGCTAGGGATGTGTCTCGTATTACGGGTACCCTTATTTCCATGGAGCTCGCTTTAGGTCCAATTGTGCGTTTGCGCACCCGAGCCTTGTACGCAGTCCTTAATAGCGTTCATAGCCTTAGCTGCAAGGTGGCTTTAACGCGTGAAGCTGTAGAGGAACTTAATTTTTGGAGAGATAATTTCTTTCGTTTGTGCGGCAAACCAATCTGGAGGCCCTCCCGAAGATAGAGCTTTTGTCTTATTCGGATGCCAGCAATGTGGGTTGGGCAGGATTTATTGTTCAATTTGGTACGCACATCGCTAGAGGGAACTGGTTGGGTTCCGAGGCCCTATGCAGCTCTTCTTTCCGCGAGATTCGTGCAATTAGATTTGTTCTTCAGTCGTTTTCCGGTCTTTTGGCGGGTAAGGAGTGCAAGCATAGATCTGACAATCAGAGCGTCTGCAGTATTTTGTCCGTCGGCAGTAGTAAGCCTCATTTGCAAAAAGAAGCGGTTGCCATTTACAATTTGTGCCATGAAGCCGGTATTCGCTTTTCTGCGGAGTGGATACCTCGCCATTTTAATTTCAAGGCTGATTATTGGTCGAAAGTTGTCGACACCGATGATTGGATGCTCAACCCTGTCCATTTTCGCCAGTTGGATATTCTGTGGGGACCCCACACTGTAGATCGTTTTGCGAGTCATAATTCTTTCCAGTTGCCCAGGTTTTGTTCTCGATGGTGGTGTCCTGGGACCGAAACTGTTGATGCTTTTACCGTCAGCTGGGGAGGGGAAAACAATTGGTTGGTCCCCCCAGTGTTCCTTATTCCCAGAATCACATGAAACTGGGTAGAGAGCAGGGCACTCTCATTATCCCCTTTTGGCAATCTGCTCATTGGTGGCCGTTGGTGTCTCGAAGCCCCGGGGTTTTCCACCCTTTTGTTCTTGACTGGCGGGAGATTCCTTTATATGAATCTACTTTTCTCCCTGGTTCCGCAGCCGCGGATCTTTTCGGGCATGGTATTCCCTCGTGTAGGGTATTTGCTTTGAGAATTGTGTTTCCTTAGTTTTGCTGTAGAACGTTTTTCGGGTATTAGACGAGTACCTTGAACGAGTTGTTCATCCTAATTATTTGTTTTTGTTCTATCTGAGCCTTTTTGGCCTAGGTGTGGGCCTTTGCTCTTTGCAAGTCAGTGGACTTGGAACTGTACTAGTACGCACGAGTTGTGCAGCTGAAGCAAGCCGAGAGGGCACTGTCGACACAGTAGTGTGTTCGTTTTTAGAGTCAAGTGGACTCCTCTATCCTTTGTGTGGATTTGCTTACCAGTTGACGCCGAGTGGGCCAAGCCTCCTTGTGCTGGAGTGTGTACTGGTGCTGTGTTAACTTGCCATGTGGGCAGTTCTCGTTGCAGACGATGTGTATCTTGCGCGTTTAGTGTTCTGTAGCAATTGGATGTTGTTCCTGTCTTTAAAGTGCCATGTTTTGGACATTGTTGATTTTCACTTTAGGCTTGTCGCCTTACCAACGGAGCAACGCGGAGATTCAGAGGCTTGTAGAACTGTTAAAGACTGTCATACTTAATGACTGTGCCGCTTCAACCGTGTCTTCGTATGCAGGGGCAGCCAATCGATGGATTGACTGGTGCAAGTGCTACTCGTTTCCTCCTTTACAGTCTAACCCAACCGCAGTTGCTCTCTACTTAACAAGTCTTTCAGACCGAGGCTTATCTCGCTCGTCAATCCTTGGAGCAGCTTATGGCATTGCATGGCTACATAAGAAACTTGGATGTCCTAATCCTGTCGACGATCCGCTCGTTTCTCAGACCTTGGCTGGCTTTAAACGCCTCCTGGCTGGTCCATCTAGGAGAAAGCAGCCTATTGAATCTCATCACGTCAGGGCGCTGATTCGTTCCTATGGTCACCCTCGTGCTTCTCTACCGAACCTACAAATGGTGTCGCTGGTTGCGCTTGGTTTTTGTGCTTTCCTACGTTGGTCAGAGCTGCGTGACTTACGTGCCTGTGACTTAAGGTTTTGCGCCACCCACATGTCTATTTTCCTAGACAGGCGTAAGAACGATCAATTCCGTCAGGGATCTGTGGTTAAAGTTGCTCGTTTACCTTCCAGCTCTTGTCCAGTGAAACTGTTAGAGTTATTCCTTGAGCGCGGAGAGCATCAACCATCTCAGTCTTTATTTTGTCTCTGCCAGAAATTGGGTGCCGGGTACAAGCTGCGACAAGCTGCTCTGTCATATTCTCGGGCACGGGAACAGTTTCGTCAAATGATTTCCGAACTTGGTTTAGACTCGAACGAATTTGGTTTACATAGCCTTCGTTCAGGTGGTGCTTCCCAAGCAGCACGCAGCGGAGTTTCTGGGAGAGTATGGCGTAGACATGGTGGTTGGCGCAGTATCCAAGCCGCAGATGGTTATGTCGATGAATCTTTGGAAAATACCCTTGTGGTATCTAGAAATTTGGCTCTTTAATTTTCAGTATGTGATTTGCTTGATAAACATTGCGCGAGTTGTGTTGTTTGTTGCAGTATGGAGAGATTTACATTTGCCCAATTAATTCTGATGGCTTAACGTTGCTTGATGACACAGAATCCTTGCCGCAGGTGGATATGCTTAACAATTTTTGGACAGTACCTTTATGGTATCCAAGCGATTAGCTATCTATTATACTGTAAATATGTTTGCTTAATGAACATTGCCTTATATTGTATCCTTATATGCTTTTGCCACTGATTGTGAATTGTCTGCTTATCCCGCACCGCATTTCTGGTTGTCAGTTTTTTGGGTGCGGGGAATTCAAGAATTGTTCATTTATCTTTGCCTGAATGTAGCGAAGCGTAATGAAACAAAAGATAAATGGTTTCTTGAATTCCCAAGCACAAGTGCATTTGTCGGCAGTGTGTTTTAAGTGCCGGCGTGAGATTATGGGAAGAAAGTGTGATATGTAAACTAGCAAGTATATATTCGCTGTACAGTAAACAAGTTTCATTGTGGATTTTTACAAGCGGACAGTTAAATTTTGTTCTTTTTTATATTTTGGTTGAAATCCTGTAATCCATTTCCTCGTAACGTTTTTAGTTGTGCTTTCCTGATGATTGACAGTCATTATAAGTGGTTTTGTTTATTCAATTTACTTTGGCCGGATCGAACGTATAGAGTTTGTTTAATTTTTTGGTGTCTAAACAGTGTAAACAGTTGTTTTTGTTTTGTGATTAGTTGGTTAGTTCAATAAATGGGCTAAGAATTGTCTGCTTATCCCGCACCGCATTTCTGGTTGTCAGTTTTTTGGGTGCGGGGAATTCAAGAAGTTCCTTTAACTCCGTAAATGGGGTTATTTTTACTTTTTTTGGAGTTACTTTAACTCTGAAAGTGGAGTAAAAATTTTCGGTACAGGATAACTACTTTTTGGGGGTTAAAATAACTCAATATCTGGGGTCATTTTTTCTTCTGAGAAAGAGTTCTTTAAACTCCATTTTGGAGTTAAAACAACTCCCCCCAAAAATAAATCCACCGTAAGGAGTTAAATTGACCCCACTAGAGGAGTTATTATAACTCCTTGGAAAATTACTGTCTTTATATGTACATGCATACATAACAGCTAACTTACTGTCTTCGTCCGTGATGACAATGATTGGCTCACTAATATTTCCACCTCCCTTTGAAGTTGAAGCAAGCACTGTGATGCTGTAGTTGGTGAATTCATTGAGTCTTGTCAGAGTTGTGTCAGTTGCTGGAGCATTCACCACCTTGGTTTGTTCACTGCCACCAGGAAGCGCTGTGTAACCAACTGTGTAACTTAGTATAATACCATTTTGATCAGCTGCGGGAACATCACCCCACTGAACCAAAATGCTGGTAGAACTTGTGTTGCGACCTTGGACATTAGATGGAGGAGCATTTGGCGCTGAATAACAAAGGAGAAAACACAAAGGATAAATCAATAAACAGAGTAACGCAACTTACCTCACCTTAATATTTAATAACTTTTTTTACGAAATAACAGCAAACTTACTGTCCTCGTCTGTGATGATAATGATAGGTTCACTAACATTTCCACCTCCCTTTGAAGTTGAAGCGAACACTGTAATGCTGTAGTTGGTGAATTCATTGAGTCCTGTTAGAGTTGTTTCATTTGCTGGAGCATTCACTACCTTGGTTTGTTCACTGCCACCAGGAAGCGCTGTGAAACCAACTGTGTAACTTAGTATAATACCATTTTGATCAGTTGCGTTAACATCAGCCCACTGAACTAAAATACTTCTAGAACTTGTGTTGCGTCCTTGCACATGAGATGGAGGAGCATTTGGCTCTGAATAACAAAGGAGAAAACACAAAGTATAAATCAATAAACAGAGTAACGCAACTTACCTCACCTTAATATTTAATAACTTTTTTTACAAAATAACAGCAAACTTACTGTCCTCGTCTGTGATGACAATGATAGGTTCACTAACATTTCCACCTCCCTTTGAAGTTGAAGCAAACACCGTAATGCTGTAGTTGGTGTATTCATTAAGTTCTGTCAGAGTTGTTTCATTTGCTGGAGCATTCACCACCTTGGTTTGCTCACTGCTACCAGGAAGCGCTGTGTACTTTACTGTGTAACTCAGTATAACGCCATTTTGATCAGCTTCGGGAACTTCACCCCACTGAACGAAAATGCTGGTAGAACTTGTGTTGCGTCCCCGGACATCAGCTGGAGGAGCATTTGGCTCTATACAAAAGAACGCAAAAAGAACATAGGAAACAAAAAAGGTTGAGTTTTGGGATTCAAAATCAACACAGCCAGCCGGGAGATTGACAAACAAAATATGCAAGTTTCATGTTAATGCAGCTTATGTTTATTATTATTATTGTTGAGTCCTGTCAGATTTGCTTTTGTTGTTGGAGCATCCACTACCTTGGTTTGATCACTGCCGCCGGGAGTCTCGACTTTTAACTAATGAACTCGGTTACAGGCACCGAGAGCGAATTGTGATTAGTAGTTGACAAAAGTATCCAATGAGCTAGTAACGAAATTGGGCACCGTGCCCGGACACCAAATGTGAAGGTTGCCTAAGTTTGCAGGGTGAAGCTGAACTAAAGAGCTTCTTGAAGGAACTTCTAAGCGGTACATTATTATCTGTGTTTTTTTGCAAACGACTCAAAACCGAAAAAAAAGCTACAATTATCGATTGTGTTGACAAGAACTAAAAAAATACCGTAGATAAAAGCGTGTCCCTGCTACCTTGAGAAAAATCGTGCTATTTGGAAGTTATTTCTGCTGGTGGTGAACAGATATTTTACTATATACACTATGTCTACCTCAAAATTACTATGAAAAAAAAATCATTTTCAGTTACTGCACTTCAATAAAACTTCTTGGAAAAAACAGTACGATTAGTATAAATAATAATCTACTTGGGTACGTACTATCTTCGTCTGTAAAGATGTCGACTTTTTCGCTTTTGGGTCCACTTCCTTTTATAGTAGATGCCGACACAAAGATTCTATATTCTGTGTCCTCATTGAGTCCTGTCAGATTAGCTTGAGTTGTTGGAGCATTAACGACCTTGGTTTGTGGACTCTCGCTAGGAAGCGCTGTGTACTCAACTGTGTAACTCAGTATTATGCCATTTCGGTCACCAGCTGATGGAATCTCGTTCCACTGAACAAAAATACTGGTGGAACTTGTGTTGTGTCCGCGGACATTTTTTGGAGAATCTGTTGGTTCTGTAATAATGTGCAAGATAGTAATAAACTATTCATAGCCTAAAGCCAGTGTATATTTAATAGATAGACATCTTCAAGTCCCTCAGGATGGTTGTCAAAGTGCATTGTAGGACTGTTTTGGGGGACGCATTTTCAACACGGCGGCAAATTCGTCCCCCAAAACAGTCCCACAATGCACTTTGACAACCATCTCGACCCGGTCTCCCGCGCAACCTCAAAGTGGCGAATACAGGTACGTTTTTGAAAATAGTAAATTGATATCATCATGCAGTACTGGAAAGAAACTAGAGTTAACTTGTTATTAAAGGAGCTGAGTCACGAATTTCATCAAAATTTTGACGGAAGGAACTGCCAAAAATTTGAATGAAACATAAAATTATCGCTCAAAACATTAAAAGAAGGTAATAAAAACACAGCAAATATAAAATAAGGCACGGATGGAAAAATTTGAAGAACTAATTAAAACGGATTGAAATTGTGGCTTTTGAAAGCTTAATAGCCTAAAAGGTTTTCAAAGTGCATAATTGTTGTTTGTAATGTTTGAATTCTTGGAAGCTATATTTTTTAACAAGAAGCTATGATTTTGTCAATTTCAAGTAATTTCTTCACTAACGTACGTTAAATTTCAAAAGAGCATAAGGAAGTGTAATTGGCAACATTAACAAAAGGAAACAGACAGCTGCGACACGGCCCATTTAAGCTTGAGCCTCCCACTCTCCCACAATCACTTTCTGTCTTTATGCTGTATTCACTCAATTCCAATAGGGAGGCAGTTACAATCAAGAGGAAAGATAGACATCATAATTCAACTAATATAAGTGAAGTACTGTTAAACTTACTGTCTTCGTCTGTGATGACAATGATAGGTTTACTAACATTTCCGCCTCCCTTTGAAGTTGATGCAAACACTGTGATGCTGTAGTTCGTGAATTTATTGAGTCCTGTTAGAGTTGTTTCATTTGCTGGAGCATTCACTACCTTGGTTTGTTCACTGCCATTAGGAAGCGCCGTGTAGCTAACTGTGTAACTTACGATGATGCCATTTTGGTTGTCTAGTGGCACACTTCCCCACTGGACAAAAATACTGGTAGAACTTGCGTTGTTTCCCACAACATTAGACGGAGGAGCATTTGGTGCTGTGAAAGAGATGAAAAAATAACAAGTTAGCTTACAGGAGATACGAGGGTAGTAAGAGTAGGTTGCATACTCAGCTAGGCTAAATTGTAACAGAACAAGATGCAGAAAGAAATGGTGTGTAATTGTCTTTAAACTAATAGTTTAGATCTCTTTTCTAGAGATGCAATGATGGCAACCAGCAGGTTTTTCATCCATGGTTTTTGCAGTTATATGAATTACTGTTATAAAATAAAATTAATAAAGTGTATAGGTAAGCTACATGTATTCAGTCATGACGATGATGACAATGATTATTATCAAGATGATGATGATGATGATGATGATGATGAAGTTGATAACGATGATGATGATGATGATGTTTTTAATGACGATGATGACCATGGTGATGATGATGAACGATAATGACAATGTTTATACAATACTAATAGATAATTAGAGAGGTTGCATGCTACATGTAAGCTTAATTATAACAGAACAAGATGCAGAAAGAAATGATCATTAATTGTCTTTAAAAATGTGAATGATACAGTGTACAGGTAAGCTATTCAGTAATGACGATGACAGTTATCAAGATGATGATGACAATGACAATAGCGACCTTAAACAAACCTGGACGGCGGCCAAGAAAATGTCAACCAGAAGTCACAACATCGAGGTCGAACAGAGCAGTTGTTAACAAATCCCTGGCATCTCTGAAAGATGTCATGGCAAAGCAAAATCCAACCCATGATCAGAAGTTCTTATTTTATCTCGTTTTCTTTTTTGATAGGCAACCTAAGTCTAACCGTCGCAACCTCTGCTTGCTTAAGTTTATATTTCCGCGCACAAAGACGCTGTTCTAATTCCATGTCACCTCGGCCTGGTATGCTGTCCTCTTGGTCGCCATCAGGTTTGCTTAAGATCGGTAATAGCTATAGATGACGTTCCCTGCTAACAGAGGCCTCTGCTAGCAGGGAAGCTATGATGAAATTATGATGATGATGATGATGATGGCATTGATGATGTGTATACAATGATAAATTATAAGGACTCCCTTTTTGTTTTCTCAAGCAAGGCAATTATTATTATTATTATTATTATTATTATTATTATTATTATAACCCTTCTTGAGGAGGTGAGGTGGGGGGAGAGGGCCAAATGGTACTCACATTTCTATGAAGCATCACCAAAGTCTAATACGTACAATAGATTGAGACTAATAGTTATCATGATCACTTTGCCCCTGCATGTAATCATAAGGTAATCGGAATTGCGGAATACTTACATACTTGTGACATACAACGCATAAATAAATTATAAACATTATCTGATGATGGACACTTAGATTATATTTTAAGTTCAATTGAATTTCTAGGATATCACAGATTATTTCAGTAATAAGTACCTTCTTCGTCTGTGTTTACCCTGAGTACTAAGCTGACATTACTGGAACCAACTTTGTTAGTAGCAAACAGCCTAATGTAATATGTCGTTCCAGGATGGAGGTCTACAAGAGAAGCACTGGTGAAGGAGCTTGATACCACACAGCCACTACTTGACAGCCATGAACATCTAGCCTCTGCAAATGCCTGATTATCTGTACTGATCTCTACAGTGTAGTTACGAATAGCACTGTTGCCATTGAAGCCAGGTGTCCAGGAGATGTTCACAACTCGTGAGGTATTAGCATTAACTTCAACATTCTGTGGTGGACTTGGCACCACTACAAAAACAAAATAGTACTGCCGTTACTTAAAGGATCAATTTGAATTGTTATATTCCTAGACTTTCACTCAACTAAACAGGGACTGCTATTGGTTGATTCTTGGTCACATGGCCTTGACTAAAATCAAATGTATCCCAATCGTGATACATTAGGCAATGTACCCCACTCAGGATACATTACAGCACGTGATCAAAGCATGGTGGAAAGTGGCGTGACAGAAGGTGGGAAAAACACTGCCAGTTTTCTTTTTCATGAAAGAACACAACAACACAAACACAAAGCCTCAAGCTAAAAAGTAACAATTTTTAAAGTTATCCCAGAAGAGAAACAGCAGCTAGTGGAGGAAAAAGATGCAGATAATAAATGGAAAGTACTTTGCAAATCATTCATTCAGTGGTTTTGACAGGATTTTGAGAATTAGATTTGTGTTGTTATATACCGGGTCGACTGTTTTGGTTCGCTCCGGTTATTCTTTTATTTCTGTTGAAGTGAAAGTCTAGAAATATAATGTCAGGTCCCGCAGGAAACCAGTTAGTCTTGTTTCTCTCAAGTCCTGATGTTTCCCTTAACTTCATCTCAGGAAACATCAGCACTCTCGGGAAAACAAAACTAACTGTTTCCTTTGGGACCTAACATTAACTGTATACTAAGAGACTCCTATCATGCAGACCTATACAACACCTATTTAAGTGCTCAACCCATGGTGGAACTTATCTAGAGGCTAATACTTGTAACAGACCTTCCTTATTTGCAGTCTGTATATACAACATGGCTTAATTACCACAACAAAGTGACAAACAAATGTAAGGGGGTCAGGGGAATGTACAATGCAGTGACAAAATATGTCTAACAATAATAAGAATAACTGCTATTCTTTTTTACTAGTACCCTGAAGTTAAATGAACATGATAGATGGTAATATAAAAGCTCTCACCAGCATTTTAAGACCACAATACTCATCAAATTTTTCGTAGAAACAATTGACTGAAACGGATGATTTCTAATGTCACGCCGAATGAGTCGCAGTTGTCACTGGGCATTTTTTCTCTCCTCACCCAAAGTTGAGATTCACATTTATTTGCAAATGGTTAATAAGAGAATCAACATTGGGGAGGGTGCAGATGACAAGCCTTTTGCAACAAATGTGGATGAGTATCGCAGCGACTTTGATACCTCACATTTGGGTGGTATCATTATTTCATACCAATAAAATATTGAGGTTACTTAACCTCATTTTACATCGCTGATGAAGTTTGAGCGATTCAAAGGAAATTATATTCTTGAATATTTTTTTGAAAATGTTCCTCTGAGCTCTTGAATTTGTTTGCCAAATGTCTTTGCCAGGGCAGATAAAATCACTTTTTGGAAAATAAATAAATTGTTCTAACTAACCTTGTATTATAACTGATGCATTAGCAGATGAGGTCTCAATTCTGTTTATAACAACACAGGTATAATTCCCAGAATCGCTTGATATACTTGGGACAATTGTTAACTGTACTGTGCTGCCATTGAAATGAGTAATATTCCCTCTTGATCCATTCTCTAAAGAATCATTCTTGGATATCACAGTTCCATCTTTTTCCCAACGCACTTCTGATACCGGAGGTGATGCATTATAATGACAAGTCAGTTGTACTTTATTTCCTATCACGACAAGCTGTTGTGCCGCACCATCAATTGTTACTTCCAGAGCAACTGTGATAAAAAAAAAAATGTTGGACTCAGTGACAAGTTCCATCTTATTAATACATTTAGGAATGCTAGAGTGTTAACTTAGCTCTGAAATTCAAAGCCTCAGAAAACTGTTTTAACAAAAATCAACTTCATTTCAGTGATGTGATAAATATACAGGTATATATAACCCTTAATATGTACTTTCTTGAATTTTAGTTTCAGTTTCAAACTTGGTAAAGGTGTTCTTACAAAAAGATCCACAAAACCAACGAGTACATGTAGCTGATATATTTCCATCATTACATGTAAGGCCCAGGGCTGTGCTCTAGCAGAGCTCAATGGCCCCTGGCGCCTAACTTTTGCCCTCAGGCGACTAGAAAATCTTACATGTTTCATACAAATCATATGCTGGGAACCCTAGATTTTACAGTTTCAGAGCACTGGGCTCCCTTCAATTTTCCTTAGAGCACAACCTTGAAGGCCTAATCGTGATATTGATGCTGCATGTAATAGATATTCACAGCATGAATTCAACAAAGGCCTGCCAATGTTTTAATGCTTTATAGTCAAGAACAGACCAACCAGTTAGAGTATAAAACATTATCGAAAATGTTAGCAAAAAAGTGAAGTACAGGGAATACCATTTGAATATACATAAGCTTATCATTATATGTAAGCAAAATAAGACTTGTATGAACAAAATATCAATACTATCAAAGTTAGAGAGTTATTAAAAATATATGAAGGATTAACTACTGTTGCAAAAATTCAACTGAACAAAGTTTCCTTTTCAGCTTTGTAACCGAATCAAAGGCCAAGAGGAAGAAAATTTAATAACAAGCGCTAAATAGTATTAAAATACTCAGAATAGTTTGATTTATAATTAAAACATTAATTGATCATACATTCTGGAAGTTTTAATACATGCATGACAGTGCACCTGTGTACAACGAAAGCAAAGTTGACTTGTACGTAACTCGATTATCTCTTTATAAGCAATAAAATTATTATATAAGAAATGCAGTTTCTCTGTAACAAAAATTTGGGAAGGATATGGTGTAGCGCGGTCTGGAAAGCGCTTTTAATACCTCCAACAACGATATCAGAATAGAGTTACACCGTGAGAATTCTTTATATAATAGACCGACGAAGAGTCGTTTCAGCTTGCCTATGCGTTGTATTTTTCGGTATAAAATGTGCGGAGAATTTTTAAAATATAGATCTACAGCAAAAGAGATTAGACTTTAAGATATAAACGGCATGATTCAAAAGGTGAAGTACACCTGACTGTAAATACACAAACGTAAAATTATTTCCGCTTTGTGAATTCAAGGAATAAGTAGTAAAAACTTTTGGTTTCAAAATCGAAAAGAGTTATTACCTTGACTAATAACGGGCGAATGGAATACCAACAACAGAAAGAGAGAAAACCAACAAGACGAATGATATTTTAGGACGATTCTTCCTGCAAGACGTTCGTCCATATTTTGAAAGCATAAACTTGACGGAGCTGAAATGTTCCTCTCCCCTCCCCTGAGCGGAAATCGAAAGCGAGGGTGGCATATTGGCAAAGCACTTTGTGAGGTCACGACTCGAAATAAACCGCACATTTCCATAATTAATGCCCTTAACAATGTTAAAATTTGTCGAAAATTCGTAACTTCGACGCTATTTACGTTCATTTCTAAATTTCTTGAGTTCAGTTGAAAAGAACGACTTAGGAAATAAAGGATACAATCGATAAGAAGCGAATAAATCAGCTCAAGCTGTCGGGGCAACACACAAGGAAATATCACGAAGAGATAGTTCGAGGCAATCTCTTGACGTCACGCATTCCTTTCTTAAAAGACGGTAAAAGTCAAAACAATGACATATATATCAACAACTTAAGTTATGTTTAATAAAATAACAATAGTTTTACTTTTCCAAGGTTCAGTATCATGCTGTTTTATTATTACTATTTTACATGTTTTGGCGTGAAACTAACACGCGATAACCTTTTTATTCAAGGTGAGGACCCGACCATTATAAAGCCGGATTAACCTTTCTTCACACAAAAACAGATCGGAAGTTCTAAAAATGGAGTTTTCAAACCATTTTTGGTAAGGAACTTGTGTCTTATGAGTTATTTCTAAAAGAAAAAGGTCTCTTAATTTTCACCAATCATTTACGAAATATATAATTTGCTTCTGTTAGTTTCAGCCTGGGAAAGAACGGGAAGGCTTCCGCGGTCTTCAACCTGCTACAAATATGGCCAACAGGAATGAACCGGAATCGGCTCTTTATACTTGGTATTTTTTTTGCTTTTCCTTTCTTCTTATTATTATTTATTCATCTTTTCAAAATAATTAATCTCCGTTGGAAAAAAAAAAAAAATCAGTTTTGCTTCTATTACATCCGGTTTTTCCAGTACAAAAATCAATAACTAACAAGGGCTGAGGAGATGTCAAACCTTTGAAAAGTTTGTTTAACTTTAAAGGAAACCGAAAAAAAAAAGCTTTTGCTAATCACAACTTCGTGTTAAAGAGGCTGTGTCATGGTAGTACAGTTCCTTTTGTTTAATTTTGCCAATTAATCGCCCTCAGCCGCGATGGAACTTACATAGAAATCACACGTGAATGACAAAATCAAAGATCCGAGACAAATAAATATGTCTCATGAGCATTATTTTTGAAGTTGCAAGCAGCAGGGATCAGGATCATCTTTGATAGACTGTCAAGCTGAACAGTTTTCAAAAACCCTAATTTCAATCCGTTTCAATCTTCTTCAGTTTTGCGCATCCGTGGAGTATGTTGTTTCTGTTGTGATATTTTAACCTTCCTTTAATGTTTTAAGCGGTTATTTTTGTTTCTCCTAATTTAACGGGCATTTTGTAATTTCCTAATTTGGCTGAATTTCGTGACACAGATCCTTTAATGACTGATTTGACGGAATAGACGGATTAAGGGTAGGATAATCCGTGTCAATAGGGATTTTACGCGGCAGCGACGACGACGTCAGTGAAAACATCACTAGTAAAAAGTACTTGCGTTCTTTCAAAAACTTTATCGTGATTGTTACAACCCATTTGACATTTTGACTCAGATGTACGCGAATTTTAGTTTAAATTACAAGAAACCGCATTCAAAATAAATAAAAAGTCAGAAAAATTCTTCGCATGTCCTACATAACGTGAAATTGGGTAATTTTACGTCGTTTTTCACGGACAAACGAGACGGTCCTCATTTTAAACGAAAAAAAAAAAGTGATTTCATCCGTCTGTCCATAGTTATTAGAGGAGACTGGTTATGTAAAGCGGCAAACATCAATGATAAAAACAACCGTGCTGCAGTTTATGTTGGAAGCACCCTGAAAGTGCACAATCCTTTGTTTTCTGTTGGCAAATTGTTACGGAATAAATTAATGTAACGTTTTTATTGGTCAATACAATCAAAATGATAGGAATTCTTTTGAACGTTGTGCACTTTCAGGTCCACAAAAACATATAACAAAGGAGTCTGACGGGTTTCATAACCATTCCACTCAATTAACTATGGTCTGTCTGTCTGTATGTTGTTATCTATTGGTTCCGCCTTCCTTCTTGTGCCTTCTTTGTACGTGACAAGTCGGACTACTACTTATTGTGCCGTCCCTATTCTCTCTCTGCCGGCTTCTATGGAATTAATGGTCGTGAGTATTTTCATCTCTTTTAATTATAAGGTATCACGAGTCGGCGAATGATCAGGTTTACGACAAGGAAAAATCGTCTATGATCTTGATACCGCTATTGCTTTATATGGAACGTTATTGCATTCAGTTATCTATAGATGGTTAGTGTATTGAACAATTAGCATTTATATAGCTGGTTCAATAAAGATAGCTTTGAGCATTAGGAATAGCCCACGTTCGATAAATTAAAATTCTAACATGACTCCGAGGCTTTCTGGTCATTTTTCTATATTTGGTTTGATCTTCTTCGTGCTCAAGTCTCTTCTTGGAATTGTGAGACAATAAGGTCGTGAAAAATTTGCAATTTGGCCCTGAGGCCTAGGAGTCATGTTAGAATTTTAATATATTGAAAGTGTGCTATTGGGCATTGAGAAGCTATTGTTTGGTGTTTACTCAAGAAAATCATTGCATTGTTCTATATGCCCAAATACCAATGACCAATCAATCTTTTTTGATTTAGCTGTATATAGCCCACCCTCGGAAACCCAGGGGCAGTCAGTCGGGTCGAGAAAAAAGGCCGCCTTTTATTTCGACCCTACTGACTGCCCCTGGGTCTCCGAGGATGTATATAGCCTCAGGATTACAATGAGCGGTGCAACCGAACCCCGGTGAGCAAACTTCGCATAAGGCCATCCCCATAAAATGTTTCGTTTCCCATCGCCCGACCGACCCATTTTTTTGGAAAAAAAAAATTCCAGAATCACTTCTAAAGAAGCAAGCACTTTAATTTACAAGCACACGATCTTGTCTTATTAACACCAATTGTCTTAAATTATCATCGATACTTCGTTTCTGTAGCCTTTTTAGACATTTGATAGTCCTGTTAATATACATCTTTTACCATCTGATTATATCTTGCAGACTAAAAGTGAGATTTAATATGCAATCATGTGTTCATTCTTTTTTTTTTTTTTTTTGCCCGACCGACCGACCCACCTTCACGAGAGGGAGGGCGATGGGAAACGAAACATTTTATGATTTTATGGGGATGGCCTAAACCGATAGAGAATCGGCCTTTTTCCGATCCGGCCTGGTTTGACTGACATTTTGCCTCATGCAACGGAATCCAAGCCAGTCTTGGATTCTGGATTCCATGCCATGGATTCCGGACTCCAGCTACTGGATTCCAATCCTTAGTAGGATTCCGGATTCTTTGAGCTGTATTCTGGATTCCAAAGCCCAGGATACCGGATTCCACAGCAAAAATTGCACGGATTCCGGAATCCGGATTCCTTTACATGGGTTGAGAAATTATTGTCGATGCAACAAGTGGTACTTACAATGCACTGAGAGCGACCCCGCCTCCGAAGTTGCAGAACCGATGCTGTTGTTTGCCACACATCTGTATTGCCCTTCATCTGACCGATGAACATTCTGTATTGTTAAAAAGTGAACTTTTCCTGAGTTTGATTCGCTTAGATCTGAATCTGCTGTGATGTCAAGAGCAACGTTATCTTTTGTCCAGTCAATGCTGGGTTCAGGGTTTCCATCTACAGCGCAGTTAAAGATAGCGGTATCTCCTTCTCTTTTTACGGTATTGTCAGGATGTTTGGTGAACCCAGGTGCATCTGAAAGGGGAAAAGTACAAGACTACTACTGAGGACGAGATTTCTAAGAAGAATGTTCTGAACTACCTTTTTAATAAAGAGAAAGCCTGTATATATGAATTTAGTCAATGGCGAAAGCTTTGTAGACATTTTTTTCCCGAAAAAAACTACAGTCTTTGTCTCATTTCTTAGATTCGTAAGGAACTCGTGCTGATCTGAAATTAGAAGGCAATGCGATTAAAGTAGGAAATAAGGGGAAATACCAAACGCTAAATAAATCTTAAATAGTCTTATAATGACTTTAGTTCCCCTCACAGAGCAGATTACTTGAGCCCTTAGGATATCACTGTAATGAGTAACAGCATCCATACTCTGGGGAGTTAGAAAATTTTAAAACACTTGATAGCAGAGCATGAAAATTAATTATTTGTACCTGAGCAACCTGTGTAACCGGCGCGCGGGAGGGAAAGAAAGGGGCCCCTTTTTCAGGGTTTCGGTAAATGAAAGGTGAGGATTTCATCAACTAAAGCAAATGAAAGATTTGGGAAATCTGTCATTGCGTTCTACGAAAGGAGCTAAATGGGCTAAAAAAGGCCAATTTTAAGGTTTGATGGACAGGGAAACTTTATTGTTTAGGGAATTATTCATCTTTGAATAAGACCTTGTGTTGCTTTGTTTGCTTCTTTTCTAGACTATACATATGTAAAACCAAAGGTAACCACACTCAGGTACCAGAATTTTAAACAACAATGAAATGCAAAAAAACAAAAATCATACATTTTATGAAAATTGTATATTAAAAAGGACCCAACAGGTTAGAGAGTATTTTTAGCAATAAGTAGGTAATAATTATAATAAGTAATCTTACATTGTACATTTAGTGTAGCAGAATCGGATGGAACTGTCCTCACATTGTTAGTTGCCTCACAGACATATTGTCCACTGTCTTCTCTAGTCACATTCGTTAAAGTGAGCTGTTTGCCGTCTGATGACAATCTGATTCTAGAACCGGTCGTTAACACAGAACCGTTTTTGGTCCATCGGAATGTAGGTGCAGGATTTCCAGTTGCATTACAAGTGAAAGAAACGTTAGACCCTTCTATCTGTGTCGCATTTTGTGGATGCACAGAAAACTCAGGTTGATCTGTGATAAACAAAGATATATACAGAACAGTAGTGAAGTAAACGTTTTATTAATACTAGGGAAGGGAGAGGAAACACGCGAAGGGAGAAGGAGCTCACATGCTTGTCCCTGATAGCTGGTTAGTGCCTTCCACAGTAGCATTTATATATAATGTATAACCTCAGTAGCTGTGAAACCGAACCCTCATGAGCAAAATTCGAATAAACTACTAGAGAATCAGCCTTTTTCCGATCCGGCCTAGTTTGATTGACATAATTGTCGATGCAGCAAGTCACCTATTATGTGAACAGCTTCAAATACAAAGTGGTACTTACAATGCACTGAGAGTGTTCCGGCCAACGAAGTTGCAGAACCGATACTGTTATTGTTTGCCACACATCTGTATTGCCCTTTATCTGACCGATAAACATTCTGTATTTCTAAAGAGTGAACTTTTCCTGAGTTTGATTGGCTTAAATGTGGATCCGCTGTGATGTTTAGAGTCACGTTATCTTTTGTCCAGTCAATGCTGGGTTCAGGGTTTCCATCTACAGTGCAGTTAAAGATAGCGGTCTCTCCCTCTATTTTCACGATATTGTCAGGATGTTTGGTGAACCCAGGTGCATCTGAAAGGGAAAAAGTACAAGACTACTACTCAGGACGAGATTTCTAAGTAGAATGTTCAGAACTACCTTTTTGATAAATAGGAAGCCTGTGAATATGAATTTAGTCAATGGCGCAAATTTTGTAGACATTATTTTCCCGGACATAAACTACAGTCTTTGTCTCATTTCGTGGATGCGTAAGGACCTCAGGCTGATTTGTAATTAGAAGGCAACGCGATTAAAGTAGAAAAATAAGGGAAAATACGAAACGCCAAATGAATCTTTAATAGTCTTATAATGACTTAAGTTCGCCTCATGGCGCAGATTACCTGAGCCCTTAAGATATCACTGTGATGAGTAAAAGCATCCATACTCTGAGGAGTTAGAAAGTTTTAAAACACTTGATAGCACAGCAAGACAATTATTTATTTGTCGCTAAGCAACCTGTTAAAGCAAATGATAGATTTGGGAAATCTGTCATTGCGTTCCAAGAAAGGACCTAAAAGGGCTGACAGGCCAATTTTAAGGTTTGATAGAAAAAAAAACTTTCTGGTTTAGGGAATTATTCATCTTTGAATAAGACCTTGTGTTGCTTTGTTTGCTTCCTTTCTAGTAGACTATATGTGTAAAAACATAGGTAACCACACTAAGGTACCAGAATTTTAAACAACAATAAAATACCAAAAAAAAAAACAAACAAACAAACAAAAATCATACATTTCATTAAAATTGCATATTAAAAAGGGCACAACAGGTTTGAGACTATTCTTAGCAATTATAGAGAGGAGAAGTCGTTACGTCACGTTGCCATGGTAGCAAAATTTTTGGATGAGAACAAACCGAAAACGTCACTTAAAAAGTGAATTCGCACAGCTTCAAACTTCATCGATCTCATTCAATTTCATTTAATTTGGCAAATATTGCCGAAATTTTCTCGGGTTGAATCCGAAAGGACCGTATCTAAGTTTAGAAGAGGAAAAAAAGACAACTCTTGTGTTGTGCCGGTTCACCTACTCCATAAAGCGAGCGTCGGAAATTAGCAAGTTTCATGTTGCAGAGGTGCAACGACGCAAAGAAATGTACAAAATAGCGTGATGCACGTGCAAATTTGTTGTTTTGTCAATAAAAACCTTTTACTTGTTTGCCGTTCTCCTTCCGTCGCCGTCGTCGTTGGTTTTGTTGTCATCCATAAATAGTGCTAACATGGTGACGTGACGTCACACTTCTCCTCTCTATCAGGTAATAATTATAATAAGTAATCTTACATTTTACATTTAGTGTAGCAGAATCGGACGCAACTGTCGTCACATTGTTGGTTGCCTCACAGAAATATTGCCCACTGTCTTCTCTAGTCACATTCGTTACAGTGAGCTGTTTGCCGTCTGATGACAAACTGATTCTTGAAACGGGCGTTAAAACAGAACCGTTTTTGGTCCATCGGAATGTAGGTGCAGGATTTCCAGTTGCATTACAAGTGAAAGTAACGTTATCCCCTTCTATCTTCGTCGCATTTTGTGGATGCACAGAAAACTCAGGTTGATCTGTGATAAACAAAGATACAGAACAGTAGTAAAGTAAACGTTTTATTAATAATACGGAAGGGAGAAGAAACACGCGAAAGGAGAAGGAGCTCCTATGCTTGTCCCGAATAGCTGGTTAGTGCTTTGCACAGTAGCATTTATATATAATGTATAACCTCAGTAGCGGTGAAACCGAACCCTCATAAGCAAAATTCGAATAAACTAATAGAGAATCGGCTTTTTCCGATCCGGCCTAGTTTGATTGACATAATTGTCGAAGCAGCAATGCAATGCAAGTCACCTATTATGTGAACAGCTTCAAATACAAAGTGGTACTTACAATGCACTGAGAGTGTTCCGGGCAACGAAGTTGCAAAACCGATACTGTTATTGTTTGCCACACATCTGTATTGCCCTTTATCTGACCGATAAACATTCCGTATTTCTAAAGAGTGAACTTTTCCTGAGTTTGATTGGCTTAGATGTGGATCCGCTGTGATGTTAAGAGTCACGTTATCTTTTGTCCAGTCAATGCTGGGTTCAGGGTTTCCATCTACAGTGCAGTTAAAGATAGCGGTCTCTCCCTCTATTTTCAAGATATTGTCAGGATGTTTGGTGAACCCAGGTGCATCTGAAAGGGGAAAAGTACAAGACTACTACTCAGGACGAGATTTCTAAGTAGAATGTTCAGAACTACCTTTTTGATAAAAAAAGCCTGTGAATTTGAATTTAGTCCGGCAATGGCGCAAACTTTATAGATATTATTTTCCCGGACATAAACTACAATCTTCGTCTCATTCGTGGATGCGTAAGGACCTCAGGCTAATCTCTAATTAGTACTGCGCAAAGTAGCATTTATATATAATGTATAACCTCAGTAGCTGTGAAACCGAACCCTCATGAGCAAAATTCCAATAAACTAATAGAGAATCAGTCTTTTTCCGATCCGGCCTAGTTTGATTGACATAATTGTCGAAGCGGCAATGCAATGCAAGTCACCTATTATGTGAACAGCTTCAAATACAAAGTGGTACTTACAATGCACTGAGAGTGTTCCGGCCAACGAAGTTGCAGAACCGATACTGTTATTGTTTGCCACACATCTGTATTGCCCTCTATCTGACCGATAAACATTCCGTATTTCTAAAGCGTGAACTTTTCCTGAGTTTGATTGGCTTAGATGTGGATCCGCTGTGATGTTTAGAGTCACGTTATCTTTTGTCCAGTCAATGCTGGGTTCAGGGTTTCCATCTACAGTGCAGTTAAAGATAGCGGTCTCTCCCTCTATTTTCACGATATTGTCAGGATGTTTGGTGAACCCAGGTGCATCTGAAAGAGGAAAAGTACAAGACTGCTACTCAGGACGAGATTTCTAAGTAGAATGTTCAGAACTACCTTTTTGATCAAAAGAAAGCCTGTGAATATGAATTTAGTCAATGGCGCAAACTTTGTAGACATTATTTTCCCGGACATAAACTACAGTCTTTGTCTCATTTCGTGGATGCGTAAGGACCTCAGGCTGATTTGTAATTAGAAGGCAATGCGATTAAAGTAGGAAATAAGGGAAAATACCAAACGCCAAATGATAGTCTTATAATGACTTTAGTTCGCCTCATGGCGCAGATTACTTGAGCCCTTAGGATATCTCTGTAATGAGTAAAAGCATCCATACTCTGAGGAGTTAGAAAGTTTTAAAACACTTGATAGCACAGCAAGACAATTATTTATTTGTCGCTAAGCAACCTGTGTAACTGGCGCGCGGGAGGAAAGAAAGGGTCTCTTTTTCAGGCTTTAGGGTATTAAAAGGTGAGGACAGTTGATCATTTAAAGCAAATAAAAGATTTGAGAAATCTGTCATTGCAGTCAACGAATGGAGGTAAAAAAGGGCTAACGGGCCAATTTTAAGGTTTGATAGACAAGGAAACGTTTTGGTTTAAGAAATTTTTCATCTTTTAATAAGACCTCGTGTTGCGTTGTTTGCTGCCTTTCTAGAATATATATGTAAAAAACATAGGTAACCACACTAAGGTACCAGAATGTTAAACAACATTGAAATGTAAAAATATAAATCATACATTTTATTAAAATTGCTTGTTAAAAAGGACACAACAGGTTTAAGAGTGTTCTTAGCAATAATTAGGGAGTAATCATAACAAGTAATCTTACATTGTACATTTAGTGTAGCAGAATCGGACGGAACTGTCGTCACATTGTTAGTTGCCTCACAAACATATTGCCCACTGTCTTCTCTGGTCACATTCGTTATAGTGAGGTGTTTGCCGTCTGATAACAAACTGATTCTTGAATCGGTCGTTAAAACAGAACCGTTTTTGGTCCATCGGAATGTAGGTGCAGGATTTCCAGTTGCATTACAAGTGAAAGTAACGTTATCCCTTCTATCTTTGTCGCATTTTGCGGATGCACAGAAAACTCAGGTTGATCTGTGATAAACAAAGATACAGAACAGTAGTAAAGTAAACGTTTTATTAATAATACGGAAGGGAAAAGAAACACGCGAAAGGAGAAGGAGCTCCTATGCTTGTCCCGGATAGCTGGTTAGTACTGCGCACAGTAGCATTTATATATAATGTATAACCTCAGTAGCTGTGAAACCGAACCCTCATGAGCAAAATTCCAATAAACTAATAGAGAATCAGCCTTTTTCCGATCCGGCCTAGTTTGATTGACATAATTGTCGAAGCAGCAATGTAATTCAAGTCACCTATTGTGTGAACAGCTTCAAATGCAAGGTGGTACTTACAATGCACCGAGAGTGTTCCGGCCAACGAAGTTGCAGAACCGATACTGTTATTGTTTGCCACACATCTGTATTGCCCTTTATCTGACCGATTAACATTCCGTATTTCTAAAGAGTGAACTTTTCCTGAGTTTGATTGGCTTAGATGTGGATCCGCTGTGATGTTTAGAGTCACGTTATCTTTTGTCCAGTCAATGCTGGGTTCAGGGTTTCCATCTACAGTGCAGTTAAAGATAGCGGTCTCTCCCTCTATTTTCAAGATATTGTCAGGATGTTTAGTGAACCCCGGTGCATCTGAAAGAGGAAAAGTACAAGACTGCTACTCAGGACGAGATTTCTAAGTAGAATGTTCATGACTACCTTTTTGATAAATAGGAAGCCTGTGAATATGAATTTAGTCAATGGCGCAAACTTTGTAGACATTATTTTCCCGGACATAAACTACAGTCTTTGTCTCATTTCGTGGATGCGTAAGGACCTCAGGCTGATTTGTAATTAGAAGGCAATGCGATTAAAGTAGGAAATAAGGGAAAATACCAAACGCCAAATGATAGTCTTATAATGACTTTAGTTCGCCTCATGGCGCAGATTACTAGAGCCCTTAGGATATCACTGTAATGAGTAAAAGCATCCATACTCTGAGGAGTTAGAAAGTTTTAAAACACTTGATAGCACAGCAAGACAATTATTTATTTGTCGCTAAGCAACCTGTGTAACTGGCGCGCGGGAGGGAAAGAAAGGGTCTCTTTTTCAGGCTTTAGGGGTATTAAAAGGTGAGGACAGTTGATCATTTAAAGCAAATAAAAGATTTGAGAAATCTGTCATTGCAGTCAACGAATGGAGGTAAAAGGGGTAACGGGCCAATTTTAAGGTTTGATAGACAAGGAAACTTTTTGGTTTAGGGAATTATTCATCTTTTAATAAGACCTCGTGTTGCGTTGTTTGCTGCCTTTCTAGAATATATATGTAAAAACATAGGTAACCACACTAAGGTACCAGAATGTTAAACAACATTGAAATGTAAAAAATATAAATCATACATTTTATTAAAATTGCTTGTTAAAAAGGACACAACAGGTTTAAGAGTGTTCTTAGCAATAATTAGGGAGTAATCATAACAAGTAATCTTACATTGTACATTTAGTGTAGCAGAATCGGACGGAACTGTCGTCACATTGTTAGTTGCCTCACAAACATATTGCCCACTGTCTTCTCTGGTCACATTCGTTATAGTGAGGTGTTTGCCGTCTGATAACAAACTGATTCTTGAATCGGTCGTTAAAACAGAACCGTTTTTGGTCCATCGGAATGTAGGTGCAGGATTTCCAGTTGCATTACAAGTGAAAGTAACGTTATCCCCTTCTATCTTTGTCGCATTTTGCGGATGCACAGAAAACTCAGGTTGATCTGTGATAAACAAAGATACAGAACAGTAGTAAAGTAAACGTTTTATTAATAATACGGAAGGGAAAAGAAACACGCGAAAGGAGAAGGAGCTCCTATGCTTGTCCCGGATAGCTGGTTAGTACTGCGCACAGTAGCATTTATATATAATGTATAACCTCAGTAGCTGTGAAACCGAACCCTCATGAGCAAAATTCCAATAAACTAATAGAGAATCAGTCTTTTTCCGATCTGTCCTAGTTTGATTGACATAATTGTCGAAGCAGCAATGTAATTCAAGTCACCTATTGTGTGAACAGCTTCAAATGCAAGGTGGTACTTACAATGCACCGAGAGTGTTCCGGCCAACGAAGTTGCAGAACCGATACTGTTATTGTTTGCCACACATCTGTATTGCCCTTTATCTGACCGATTAACATTCCGTATTTCTAAAGAGTGAACTTTTCCTGAGTTTGATTGGCTTAGATGTGGATCCGCTGTGATGTTTAGAGTCACGTTATCTTTTGTCCAGTCAATGCTGGGTTCAGGGTTTCCATCTACAGTGCAGTTAAAGATAGCGGTCTCTCCCTCTATTTTCAAGATATTGTCAGGATGTTTAGTGAACCCCGGTGCATCTGAAAGAGGAAAAGTACAAGACTGCTACTCAGGACGAGATTTCTAAGTAGAATGTTCATGACTACCTTTTTGATAAATAGGAAGCCTGTGAATATGAATTTAGTCAATGGCGCAAACTTTGTAGACATTATTTTCCCGGACATAAACTACAGTCTTTGTCTCATTTCGTGGATGCGTAAGGACCTCAGGCTGATTTGTAATTAGAAGGCAATGCGATTAAAGTAGGAAATAAGGGAAAATACCAAACGCCAAATGATAGTCTTATAATGACTTTAGTTCGCCTCATGGCGCAGATTACTTGAGCCCTTAGGATATCTCTGTAATGAGTAAAAGCATCCATACTCTGAGGAGTTAGAAAGTTTTAAAACACTTGATAGCACAGCAAGACAATTATTTATTTGTCGCTAAGCAACCTGTGTAACTGGCGCGCGGGAGGGAAAGAAAGGGTCTCTTTTTCAGGCTTTAGGGGTATTAAAAGGTGAGGACAGTTGATCATTTAAAGCAAATAAAAGATTTGAGAAATCTGTCATTGCAGTCAACGAATGGAGGTAATAGGGCTAACGGGCCAATTTTAAGGTTTGATAGACAAGGAAACGTTTTGGTTTAGGAAATTATTCATCTTTTAATAAGACCTCGTGTTGCGTTGTTTGCTGCCTTTCTAGAATATATATGTAAAAACATAGGTAACCACACTAAGGTACCAGAATGTTAAACAACATTGAAATGTAAAAAATATAAATCATACATTTTATTAAAATTGCTTGTTAAAAAGGACACAACAGGTTTAAGAGTGTTCTTAGCAATAATTAGGGAGTAATCATAACAAGTAATCTTACATTGTACATTTAGTGTAGCAGAATCGGACGGAACTGTCGTCACATTGTTAGTTGCCTCACAAACATATTGCCCACTGTCTTCTCTGGTCACATTCCTTATAGTGAGGTGTTTGCCGTCTGATAACAAACTGATTCTTGAATCGGTCGTTAAAACAGAACCGTTTTTGGTCCATCGGAATGTAGGTGCAGGATTTCCAGTTGCATTACAAGTGAAAGTAACGTTATCCCCTTCTATCTTTGTCGCATTTTGCGGATGCACAGAAAACTCAGGTTGATCTGTGATAAACAAAGATACAGAACAGTAGTAAAGTAAACGTTTTATTAATAATACGGAAGGGAAAAGAAACACGCGAAAGGAGAAGGAGCTCCTATGCTTGTCCCGGATAGCTGGTTAGTACTGCGCACAGTAGCATTTATATATAATGTATAACCTCAGTAGCTGTGAAACCGAACCCTCATGAGCAAAATTCCAATAAACTAATAGAGAATCAGCCTTTTTCCGATCCGGCCTAGTTTGATTGACATAATTGTCGAAGCAGCAATGTAATTCAAGTCACCTATTGTGTGAACAGCTTCAAATGCAAGGTGGTACTTACAATGCACCGAGAGTGTTCCGGCCAACGAAGTTGCAGAACCGATACTGTTATTGTTTGCCACACATCTGTATTGCCCTTTATCTGACCGATTAACATTCCGTATTTCTAAAGAGTGAACTTTTCCTGAGTTTGATTGGCTTAGATGTGGATCCGCTGTGATGTTTAGAGTCACGTTATCTTTTGTCCAGTCAATGCTGGGTTCAGGGTTTCCATCTACAGTGCAGTTAAAGATAGCGGTCTCTCCCTCTATTTTCAAGATATTGTCAGGATGTTTGGTGAACCCAGGTGCATCTGAAAGGGAAAAAGTACAAGACTACTACTCAGGACGAGATTTCTAAGTAGAATGTTCAGAACTACCTTTTTGATAAATAGGAAGCCTGTGAATATGAATTTAGTCAATGGCGCAAACTTTGTAGACATTATTTTCCCGGACATAAACTACAGTCTTTGTCTCATTTCGTGGATGCGTAAGGATCTCAGGCTGATTTGTAATTAGAAGGCAACGCGATTAAAGTAGAAAAATAAGGGAAAATACGAAACGCCAAATGAATCTTTAATAGTCTTATAATGACTTAAGTTCGCCTCATGGCGCAGATTACCTGAGCCCTTAAGATATCACTGTGATGAGTAAAAGCATCCATACTCTGAGGAGTTAGAAAGTTTTAAAACACTTGATAGCACAGCAAGACAATTATTTATTTGTCGCTAAGCAACCTGTTAAAGCAAATGATAGATTTGGGAAATCTGTCATTGCGTTCCAAGAAAGGACCTAAAAGGGCTGACAGGCCAATTTTAAGGTTTGATAGAAAAAAAAACTTTCTGGTTTAGGGAATTATTCATCTTTGAATAAGACCTTGTGTTGCTTTGTTTGCTTCCTTTCTAGTAGACTATATGTGTAAAACATAGGTAACCACACTAAGGTACCAGAATTTTAAACAACAATAAAATACCAAAAAAAAAAAAAACAAACAAACAAACAAAAATCATACATTTCATTAAAATTGCATATTAAAAAAGGGCACAACAGGTTTGAGACTATTCTTAGCAATTATAGAGAGGAGAAGTCGTTACGTCACGTTGCCATGGTAGCAAAATTTTTGGATGAGAACAAACCGAAAACGTCACTTAAAAAGTGAATTCGCACAGCTTCAAACTTCATCGATCTCATTCAATTTCATTTAATTTGGCAAATATTGCCGAAATTTTCTCGGGTTGAATCCGAAAGGACCGTATCTAAGTTTAGAAGAGGAAAAAGACAACTCTTGTGTTGTGCCGGTTCACCTACTCCATAAAGCGAGCGTCGGAAATTAGCAAGTTTCATGTTGCAGAGGTGCAACGACGCAAAGAAATGTACAAAATAGCGTGATGCACGTGCAAATTTGTTGTTTTGTCAATAAAAACCTTTTACTTGTTTGCCGTTCTCCTTCCGTCGCCGTCGTCGTTGGTTTTGTTGTCATCCATAAATAGTGCTAACATGGTGACGTGACGTCACACTTCTCCTCTCTATCAGGTAATAATTATAATAAGTAATCTTACATTTTACATTTAGTGTAGCAGAATCGGACGCAACTGTCGTCACATTGTTGGTTGCCTCACAGAAATATTGCCCACTGTCTTCTCTAGTCACATTCGTTACAGTGAGCTGTTTGCCGTCTGATGACAAACTGATTCTTGAAACGGGCGTTAAAACAGAACCGTTTTTGGTCCATCGGAATGTAGGTGCAGGATTTCCAGTTGCATTACAAGTGAAAGTAACGTTATCCCCTTCTATCTTCGTCGCATTTTGTGGATGCACAGAAAACTCAGGTTGATCTGTGATAAACAAAGATACAGAACAGTAGTAAAGTAAACGTTTTATTAATAATACGGAAGGGAAAAGAAACACGCGAAAGGAGAAGGAGCTCCTATGCTTGTCCCGAATAGCTGGTTAGTGCTTTGCACAGTAGCATTTATATATAATGTATAACCTCAGTAGCTGTGAAACCGAACCCTCATAAGCAAAATTCGAATAAACTAATAGAGAATCGGCTTTTTCCGATCCGGCCTAGTTTGATTGACATAATTGTCGAAGCAGCAATGCAATGCAAGTCACCTATTATGTGAACAGCTTCAAATACAAAGTGGTACTTACAATGCACTGAGAGTGTTCCGGGCAACGAAGTTGCAAAACCGATACTGTTATTGTTTGCCACACATCTGTATTGCCCTTTATCTGACCGATAAACATTCCGTATTTCTAAAGAGTGAACTTTTCCTGAGTTTGATTGGCTTAGATGTGGATCCGCTGTGATGTTAAGAGTCACGTTATCTTTTGTCCAGTCAATGCTGGGTTCAGGGTTTCCATCTACAGTGCAGTTAAAGATAGCGGTCTCTCCCTCTATTTTCAAGATATTGTCAGGATGTTTGGTGAACCCAGGTGCATCTGAAAGGGGAAAGTACAAGACTACTACTCAGGACGAGATTTCTAAGTAGAATGTTCAGAACTACCTTTTGATAAAAAAAAGCCTGTGAATTTGAATTTAGTCCGGCAATGGCGCAAACTTTATAGATATTATTTTCCCGGACATAAACTACAATCTTCGTCTCATTCGTGGATGCGTAAGGACCTCAGGCTAATCTCTAATTAGTACTGCGCAAAGTAGCATTTATATATAATGTATAACCTCAGTAGCTGTGAAACCGAACCCTCATGAGCAAAATTCCAATAAACTAATAGAGAATCAGTCTTTTTCCGATCCGGCCTAGTTTGATTGACATAATTGTCGAAGCGGCAATGCAATGCAAGTCACCTATTATGTGAACAGCTTCAAATACAAAGTGGTACTTACAATGCACTGAGAGTGTTCCGGCCAACGAAGTTGCAGAACCGATACTGTTATTGTTTGCCACACATCTGTATTGCCCTCTATCTGACCGATAAACATTCCGTATTTCTAAAGCGTGAACTTTTCCTGAGTTTGATTGGCTTAGATGTGGATCCGCTGTGATGTTTAGAGTCACGTTATCTTTTGTCCAGTCAATGCTGGGTTCAGGGTTTCCATCTACAGTGCAGTTAAAGATAGCGGTCTCTCCCTCTATTTTCACGATATTGTCAGGATGTTTGGTGAACCCAGGTGCATCTGAAAGAGGAAAAGTACAAGACTGCTACTCAGGACGAGATTTCTAAGTAGAATGTTCAGAACTACCTTTTTGATCAAAAGAAAGCCTGTGAATATGAATTTAGTCAATGGCGCAAACTTTGTAGACATTATTTTCCCGGACATAAACTACAGTCTTTGTCTCATTTCGTGGATGCGTAAGGACCTCAGGCTGATTTGTAATTAGAAGGCAATGCGATTAAAGTAGGAAATAAGGGAAAATACCAAACGCCAAATGATAGTCTTATAATGACTTTAGTTCGCCTCATGGCGCAGATTACTTGAGCCCTTAGGATATCTCTGTAATGAGTAAAAGCATCCATACTCTGAGGAGTTAGAAAGTTTTAAAACACTTGATAGCACAGCAAGACAATTATTTATTTGTCGCTAAGCAACCTGTGTAACTGGCGCGCGGGAGGGAAAGAAAGGGTCTCTTTTTCAGGCTTTAGGGGTATTAAAAGGTGAGGACAGTTGATCATTTAAAGCAAATAAAAGATTTGAGAAATCTGTCATTGCAGTCAACGAATGGAGGTAAAAGGGCTAACGGGCCAATTTTAAGGTTTGATAGACAAGGAAACGTTTTGGTTTAAGAAATTTTTCATCTTTTAATAAGACCTCGTGTTGCGTTGTTTGCTGCCTTTCTAGAATATATATGTAAAAACATAGGTAACCACACTAAGGTACCAGAATGTTAAACAACATTGAAATGTAAAAAATATAAATCATACATTTTATTAAAATTGCTTGTTAAAAAGGACACAACAGGTTTAAGAGTGTTCTTAGCAATAATTAGGGAGTAATCATAACAAGTAATCTTACATTGTACATTTAGTGTAGCAGAATCGGACGGAACTGTCGTCACATTGTTAGTTGCCTCACAAACATATTGCCCACTGTCTTCTCTGGTCACATTCGTTATAGTGAGGTGTTTGCCGTCTGATAACAAACTGATTCTTGAATCGGTCGTTAAAACAGAACCGTTTTTGGTCCATCGGAATGTAGGTGCAGGATTTCCAGTTGCATTACAAGTGAAAGTAACGTTATCCCCTTCTATCTTTGTCGCATTTTGCGGATGCACAGAAAACTCAGGTTGATCTGTGATAAACAAAGATACAGAACAGTAGTAAAGTAAACGTTTTATTAATAATACGGAAGGGAAAAGAAACACGCGAAAGGAGAAGGAGCTCCTATGCTTGTCCCGGATAGCTGGTTAGTACTGCGCACAGTAGCATTTATATATAATGTATAACCTCAGTAGCTGTGAAACCGAACCCTCATGAGCAAAATTCCAATAAACTAATAGAGAATCAGTCTTTTTCCGATCTGTCCTAGTTTGATTGACATAATTGTCGAAGCAGCAATGTAATTCAAGTCACCTATTGTGTGAACAGCTTCAAATGCAAGGTGGTACTTACAATGCACCGAGAGTGTTCCGGCCAACGAAGTTGCAGAACCGATACTGTTATTCTTTGCCACACATCTGTATTGCCCTTTATCTGACCGATTAACATTCCGTATTTCTAAAGAGTGAACTTTTCCTGAGTTTGATTGGCTTAGATGTGGATCCGCTGTGATGTTTAGAGTCACGTTATCTTTTGTCCAGTCAATGCTGGGTTCAGGGTTTCCATCTACAGTGCAGTTAAAGATAGCGGTCTCTCCCTCTATTTTCAAGATATTGTCAGGATGTTTAGTGAACCCCGGTGCATCTGAAAGAGGAAAAGTACAAGACTGCTACTCAGGACGAGATTTCTAAGTAGAATGTTCAGAACTACCTTTTTGATCAAAAGAAAGCCTGTGAATATGAATTTAGTCAATGGCGCAAACTTTGTAGACATTATTTTCCCGGACATAAACTACAGTCTTTGTCTCATTTCGTGGATGCGTAAGGACCTCAGGCTGATTTGTAATTAGAAGGCAATGCGATTAAAGTAGGAAATAAGGGAAAATACCAAACGCCAAATGATAGTCTTATAATGACTTTAGTTCGCCTCATGGCGCAGATTACTTGAGCCCTTAGGATATCTCTGTAATGAGTAAAAGCATCCATACTCTGAGGAGTTAGAAAGTTTTAAAACACTTGATAGCACAGCAAGACAATTATTTATTTGTCGCTAAGCAACCTGTGTAACTGGCGCGCGGGAGGGAAAGAAAGGGTCTCTTTTTCAGGCTTTAGGGGTATTAAAAGGTGAGGACAGTTGATCATTTAAAGCAAATAAAAGATTTGAGAAATCTGTCATTGCAGTCAACGAATGGAGGTAAAAGGGCTAACGGGCCAATTTTAAGGTTTGATAGACAAGGAAACGTTTTGGTTTAAGAAATTTTTCATCTTTTAATAAGACCTCGTGTTGCGTTGTTTGCTGCCTTTCTAGAATATATATGTAAAAACATAGGTAACCACACTAAGGTACCAGAATGTTAAACAACATTGAAATGTAAAAAATATAAATCATACATTTTATTAAAATTGCTTGTTAAAAAGGACACAACAGGTTTAAGAGTGTTCTTAGCAATAATTAGGGAGTAATCATAACAAGTAATCTTACATTGTACATTTAGTGTAGCAGAATCGGACGGAACTGTCGTCACATTGTTAGTTGCCTCACAAACATATTGCCCACTGTCTTCTCTGGTCACATTCGTTATAGTGAGGTGTTTGCCGTCTGATAACAAACTGATTCTTGAATCGGTCGTTAAAACAGAACCGTTTTTGGTCCATCGGAATGTAGGTGCAGGATTTCCAGTTGCATTACAAGTGAAAGTAACGTTATCTCCTTCTATCTTTGTCGCATTTTGCGGATGCACAGAAAACTCAGGTTGATCTGTGATAAACAAAGATACAGAACAGTAGTAAAGTAAACGTTTTATTAATAATACGGAAGGGAAAAGAAACACGCGAAAGGAGAAGGAGCTCCTATGCTTGTCCCGGATAGCTGGTTAGTACTGCGCACAGTAGCATTTATATATAATGTATAACCTCAGTAGCTGTGAAACCGAACCCTCATGAGCAAAATTCCAATAAACTAATAGAGAATCAGTCTTTTTCCGATCTGTCCTAGTTTGATTGACATAATTGTCGAAGCAGCAATGTAATTCAAGTCACCTATTGTGTGAACAGCTTCAAATGCAAGGTGGTACTTACAATGCACCGAGAGTGTTCCGGCCAACGAAGTTGCAGAACCGATACTGTTATTGTTTGCCACACATCTGTATTGCCCTTTATCTGACCGATTAACGTTCCGTATTTCTAAAGAGTGAACTTTTCCTGAGTTTGATTGGCTTAGATGTGGATCCGCTGTGATGTTTAGAGTCACGTTATCTTTTGTCCAGTCAATGCTGGGTTCAGGGTTTCCATCTACAGTGCAGTTAAAGATAGCGGTCTCTCCCTCTATTTTCAAGATATTGTCAGGATGTTTAGTGAACCCCGGTGCATCTGAAAGAGGAAAAGTACAAGACTGCTACTCAGGACGAGATTTCTAAGTAGAATGTTCAGAACTACCTTTTTGATCAAAAGAAAGCCTGTGAATATGAATTTAGTCAATGGCGCAAACTTTGTAGACATTATTTTCCCGGACATAAACTACAGTCTTTGTCTCATTTCGTGGATGCGTAAGGACCTCAGGCTGATTTGTAATTAGAAGGCAATGAGATTAAAGTAGGAAATAAGGGAAAATACCAAACGCCAAATGATAGTCTTATAATGACTTTAGTTCGCCTCATGGCGCAGATTAATTGAGCCCTTAGGATATCTCTGTAATGAGTAAAAGCATCCATACTCTGAGGAGTTAGAAAGTTTTAAAACACTTGATAGCACAGCAAGACAATTATTTATTTGTCGCTAAGCAACCTGTGTAACTGGCGCGCGGGAGGGAAAGAAAGGGTCTCTTTTTCAGGCTTTAGGGGTATTAAAAGGTGAGGACAGTTGATCATTTAAAGCAAATAAAAGATTTGAGAAATCTGTCATTGCAGTCAACGAATGGAGGTAAAAGGGGTAACGGGCCAATTTTAAGGTTTGATAGACAAGGAAACTTTTTGGTTTAGGGAATTATTCATCTTTTAATAAGACCTCGTGTTGCGTTGTTTGCTTCCTTTCTAGAATATATATGTAAAAACATAGGTAACCACACTAAGGTACCAGAATGTTAAACAACATTGAAATGTAAAAAATATAAATCATACATTTTATTAAAATTGCTTGTTAAAAAGGACACAACAGGTTTAAGAGTGTTCTTAGCAATAATTAGGGAGTAATCATAAGAAGTAATCTTACATTGTACATTTAGTGTAGCAGAATCGGACGGAACTGTCGTCACATTGTTAGTTGCCTCACAAACATATTGCCCACTGTCTTCTCTGGTCACATTCGTTATAGTGAGGTGTTTGCCGTGTGATAACAAACTGATTCTTGAATCGGTCGTTAAAACAGAACCGTGTTTGGTCCATCGGAATGTAGGTGCAGGATTTCCAGTTGCATTACAAGTGAAAGTAACGTTATCCCCTTCTATCTTTGTCGCATTTTGCGGATGCACAGAAAACTCAGGTTGATCTGTGATAAACAAAGATACAGAACAGTAGTAAAGTAAACGTTTTATTAATAATACGGAAGGGAAAAGAAACACGCGAAAGGAGAAGGAGCTCCTATGCTTGTCCCGGATAGCTGGTTAGTACTGCGCACAGTAGCATTTATATATAATGTATAACCTCAGTAGCTGTGAAACCGAACCCTCATGAGCAAAATTCCAATAAACTAATAGAGAATCAGTCTTTTTCCGATCCGGCCTAGTTTGATTGACATAATTGTCGAAGCAGCAATGTAATTCAAGTCACCTATTGTGTGAACAGCTTCAAATGCAAAGTGGTACTTACAATGCACCGAGAGTGTTCCGGCCAACGAAGTTGCAGAACCGATACTGTTATTGTTTGCCACACATCTGTATTGCCCTTTATCTGACCGATTAACGTTCCGTATTTCTAAAGAGTGAACTTTTCCTGAGTTTGATTGGCTTAGATGTGGATCCGCTGTGATGTTTAGAGTCACGTTATCTTTTGTCCAGTCAATGCTGGGTTCAGGGTTTCCATCTACAGTGCAGTTAAAGATAGCGGTCTCTCCCTCTATTTTCAAGATATTGTCAGGATGTTTAGTGAACCCCGGTGCATCTGAAAGAGGAAAAGTACAAGACTGCTACTCAGGACGAGATTTCTAAGTAGAATGTTCATGACTACCTTTTTGATAAATAGGAAGCCTGTGAATATGAATTTAGTCAATGGCGCAAACTTTGTAGACATTATTTTCCCGGACATAAACTACAGTCTTTGTCTCATTTCGTGGATGCGTAAGGACCTCAGGCTGATTTGTAATTAGAAGGCAATGAGATTAAAGTAGGAAATAAGGGAAAATACCAAACGCCAAATGATAGTCTTATAATGACTTTAGTTCGCCTCATGGCGCAGATTAATTGAGCCCTTAGGATATCTCTGTAATGAGTAAAAGCATCCATACTCTGAGGAGTTAGAAAGTTTTAAAACACTTGATAGCACAGCAAGACAATTATTTATTTGTCGCTAAGCAACCTGTGTAACCGGCGCGCGGGAGGGAAAGAAAGGGTCTCTTTTTCAGGCTTTAGGGGTATTAAAAGGTGAGGACAGTTGATCATTTAAAGCAAATAAAAGATTTGAGAAATCTGTCATTGCAGTCAACGAATGGAGGTAAAAGGGCTAACGGGCCAATTTTAAGGTTTGATAGACAAGGAGACGTTTTGGTTTAGGAAATTATTCATCTTTTAATAAGACCTCGTGTTGCGTTGTTTGCTGCCTTTCTAGAATATATATATGTAAAAACATAGGTAACCACACTAAGGTACCAGAATGTTAAACAACATTGAAATGTAAAAAATATAAATCATACATTTTATTAAAATTGCTTGTTAAAAAGGACACAACAGGTTTAAGAGTGTTCTTAGCAATAATTAGGCAGTAATCATAACAAGTAATCTTACATTGTACATTTAGTGTAGCAGAATCGGACGGAACTGTCGTCACATTGTTATTTGCCTCACAAACATATTGCCCACTGTCTTCTCTGGTCACATTCGTTATAGTGAGGTGTTTGCCGTCTGATGACAAACTGATTCTTGAACCGGTCGTTAAAACAGAACCGATTTTGGTCCATCGGAATGTAGGTGCAGGATTTCCAGTTGCATTACAAGTGAAAGTAACGTTATCCTCTTCTATTTTTGTCGCATTTTGTGGATGCACAGAAAACTCAGGTTTATCTGTGATAAACAAAGATACAGAACAGTAGTAAAGCAAACGTTTTATTAATAATACGGAAGGGAAAAGAAACACGCGAAAGGAGAAGGAGCTCCTATGCTTGTCCCGGATACCTGGTTAGTACTGCGCACAGTAGCATTTATATATAATGTATAACCCCAGTAGCTGTGAAACCGAACCCTCATAAGCAAAATTCGAATAAACTAATAGAGAATCAGCCTTTTTCCGATCCGGCCTGGTTTGATTGACATAATTGTCGACGCAACAATGCAATGCAAGTCACCTATTATGTGAACAGCTTCAAATACAAAGTGGTACTTACAATGCACTGAGAGTGTTCCGGCCAACGAAGTTGCAGAACCGATACTGTTATTGTTTGCCACACATCTGTATTGCCCTTTATCTGACCGATAAACATTCCGTATTTCTAAAGAATGAACTTTTCCTGAGTTTGATTGGCTTAGATCTGGATCAGCTGTGATGTTAAGAGTCACGTTATCTTTTGTCCAGTCAATGCTGGGTTCAGGGTTTCCATCTACAGTGCAGTTAAAGATAGCGGTCTCTCCCTCTATTTTCACGATATTGTCAGGATGTTTGGTGAACCCAGGTGCATCTGAAACGGGAAAAGTACAAGACCACTTATTAAAAGGTGAGGACAGTTGATCATTTAAAGCAAATAAAAGATTTGAGAAATCTGTCATTGCATTCAACGAATGGAGGTAATAGGGCTAACGGGCCAATTTTAAGGTTTGATAGAGAAGGAAACTTTCTGGTTTAGGGAATTATTCATCTTGTAATAAGGCCTCGTGTTATGTTGTTTGCTTCCTTTCTAGAATATATATGTAAAAACATAGGTAACCACACTAAGGTACCAGAATTTTAAACAACATTGAAATGTAAAAAATATAAATCATATATTTTATTAAAATTGCATATTAAAAAGGACGCAATAGGTTTAACAGTGTTCAGTTAGTAATAATTAGGTAATAATTATAATAAGTAATCTTACATTGTACATTTAGTGTAGCAGAATTGGACAGAACTGTCGTCACATTGTCAGTTGCCTCACAGACATATCGCCCACTGTCTTCTCTAGTCAGATTCGTTATATTGAGTTGTTTGCCGTCCGATGACAAACTGATTCTTGAACCCGTCGTTAAAACAGAACCGTCTTTGGTCCAATTGAACGTGGGTGCAGAATTTCCTGTTGCATCACAAGTGAAAGTAACGTTATCCCCCTCTATCTTTGTCTCATTTTGTGGATGCAAAGAAAACTGAGGTTGACCTGTGATAAAGAAATATAAAGAACAGAGGTCAAGTAAGCGTTTTATTAATAGGAGAGGGAGCTCCTATACTCGTCCCTTATAGCTGGTTAGTGTATTGTACAAAGTAGCAGTTATATATAGTGTATAACCTCAGTAGCGATGAAATCGATCCCTCATGAGCGAAATTCGAATAAACTAACAAAAAATCTTTCCTTTTTCTTTTTCAGTGAGTGGTAGCGCCTTAATGATTGCTCGCGCTTGTCAGCTAAAGAAATTTAAGCTGCATCATGAATTTCTTGAATACAAAAAATGAGCTATTACATGGGAATGCTACGCGCGCTGTGATTGGTCGTTGCCCATGATCTATTAGAGTACAGATACATGGATGACGTCAGGAGAAAAATATCAAAAAAACATCAGTGACACACTGGCCTGCGGCTCGTGTACCACATTTTGACGTCATCTGGGATGCCGGATCTACTACTGAACATACGCACGGCAACTTGGAATCTATTTGTTAAATATATGAAGCGTGATGCGGCTTCCTAGCACAATATCTAGTTTGATATATCAGTGGAATTTGAACAAGGCCGCCAGAAGCGGCCCGCATAACAAGAAGTTAGTTTCACCTTTTAACCAAGTGCGGTTGTGAACAATTAAATGACTGCAAGATCACACAAATGAAAAAGATAAAATCAGTGGGCAGTGGGTGACTGCAGAATTTCTTCTTTCTATAGTGGAACATGCAAAGTCCCGAAGTTCTACCAGAATGCACTTATATTAAAAGTGCTTTTAACAAAAACTTGAATGTTCAAACTGGAATTCAACAAGTCCCGGCAAAACGCAACACACTTATCAGAATAATTCATTACCTCAGCATATCATACACAGAGTTAGCTGAGCTCCACTAACCTTCTTGAGAAAAGGGAACAGCAATTACTTAACAATAGTACTCTTTTAACACTTATTGTGAGGCCCGCAGCGTTAATACTTTGTTTCCTTCGTAACACAGAAGTGTTGGGCTTGTAGCTAGCTAGAAGTTTTAACAGACTTACAGCTAAAGGAAAGAATTGAACAATTTTCTTGTAGGCGGCAAGGGAAGTGTTACGAAATGATACTCAAGCTCCATCAAGAATGTGGATACTAGAACACCGTAACCGGTAGCTCAAACGTACGTGAATACCTTCCGAGAACGTGACGAAAAATATTCCACGATTTTTCTGCCTCGGCCACGATATGGGCCTGTGTCTCAAGTGCAACTATTTCGTAAATCAATTTAAGCCTACAATAGTTATCATCATCAAATCTCAGTTCTTCTATCGTGGTAGCAATGCGTGATCATATACTGATCACAAAGAAAGAAATGAACTGGGGAAAAGAGGGAAAATTGCATTATAGAGCTAACCACTCTAAATCTTTCCCAGGGCTATGCATATTCGACATCGTTGCAACAGTTTTACAAACAAGCCATCCAAATGACCTTCTAGTGCACACAAACTCTATTTTCTTTAGCTAGTATATTCACTCAAACAAGAGTCCACAATCCAATAAGCGCCCTCCCCTGAATGAGGGGCCACCCTCGATCAAAGCAGCTGAAACAGGCAACCCAACCAGAGTAAGCGTCCCCACTGCCCCCATCAATCCCCCTCACTTCCAAAAATAGTAAGATTATCACTAAGAAAATGATGTTTTGTTCTCACTTTATAATTGTTTGCGACTACAATGGAATCAATGAAGGAAACAGTTTAGCCTATGGCTGTCACTGTCCCTATGTTTTTGTGAAGTACTAAAAGCTGTGCATTGTTCAGATGATAGACATAAACTTTTTCTTCTTTCTTGAAGCTACCTTGTAGCGGCCAACTCGATAAAGCGCCTGCTTTGAATGAGTGCCTGGTGTCTAGGCGTTTCTTGGAGGAAGTCACCTATTATGTGAACAGCTTCAAATACAAGGTGGTACTTACAATGCACCGAGAGTGTTCCGGCCAACGAAGTTGCAGAACCGATACTGTTATTGTTTGCCACACATCTGTATTGCCCTTTATCTGACCGATTAACATTCCGTATTTCTAAAGAGTGAACTTTTCCTGAGTTTGATTGGCTTAGATCTGGATCCGCTGTGATGTTTAGAGTCACGTTATCTTTTGTCCAGTCAATGCTGGGTTCAGGGTTTCCATCTACAGTGCAGTTAAAGATAGCGGTCTCTCCCTCTATTTTCACGATATTGTCAGGATGTTTGGTGAACCCAGGTGCATCTGAAAGGGGAAAGGTACAAGACTACTTATTAAAAGGTGAGGACAGTTGATCATTTAAAGCAAATAAAAGATTTGAGAAGTCTGTCATTGCATTCAACGAATGGAGGTAATAGGGCTAACGGGCCAATTTTAAGGTTTGATAGAGAAGGAAACTTTCTGGTTTAGGGAATTATTCATCTATTGATAAGACCTCGTGTTGTGTTGTTTGCTTCCTTTCTAGAATATATATGTAAAAACATAGGTAACCACACTAAGGTACCAGAATTTTAAACAACATTGAAATGTAAAAAATATAAATCATATATTTTATTAAAATTGCATATTAAAAAGGACGCAATAGGTTTAACAGTATTCAGTTAGTAATAATTAGGTAATAATTATAATAAGTAATCTTACATTGTACATTTAGTGTAGCAGAATTGGACAGAACTGTCGTCACATTGTCAGTTGCCTCACAGACATATCGCCCACTGTCTTCTCTAGTCAGATTCGTTATATTGAGTTGTTTGCCGTCCGATGACAAACTGATTCTTGAACCCGTCGTTAAAACAGAACCGTCTTTGGTCCAATTGAACGTGGGTGCAGAATTTCCTGTTGCATCACAAGTGAAAGTAACGTTATCCCCCTATCTTTGTCTCATTTTGTGGATGCAAAGAAAACTGAGGTTGACCTGTGATAAAGAAATATAAAGAACAGAGGTCAAGTAAGCGTTTTATTAATAGGAGAGGGAGCTCCTATACTCGTCCCTTATAGCTGGTTAGTGTATTGTACAAAGTAGCAGTTATATATAGTGTATAACCTCAGTAGCGATGAAATCGATCCCTCATGAGCGAAATTCGAATAAACTAACAAAAAATCTTTCCTTTTTCTTTTTCAGTGAGTGGTAGCGCCTTAATGATTGCTCGCGCTTGTCAGCTAAAGAAATTTAAGCTGCATCATGAATTTCTTGAATACAAAAAAATGAGCTATTACATGGAATGCTACGCGCGCTGTGATTGGTCGTTGCCCATGATCTATTAGAGTACAGATACATGGATGACGTCAGGAGAAAAATATCAAAAACATCAGTGACACACTGGCCTGCGGCTCGTGTACCACATTTTGACGTCATCTGGGATGCCGGATCTACTACTGAACATACGCACGGCAACTTGGAATCTATTTGTTAAATATATGAAGCGTGATGCGGCTTCCTAGCACAATATCTAGTTTGATATATCAGTGGAATTTGAACAAGGCCGCCAGAAGCGGCCCGCATAACAAGAAGTTAGTTTCACCTTTTAACCAAGTGCGGTTGTGAACAATTAAATGACTGCAAGATCACACAAATGAAAAGATAAAATCAGTGGGCAGTGGGTGACTGCAGAATTTCTTCTTTCTATAGTGGAACATGCAAAGTCCCGAAGTTCTACCAGAATGCACTTATATTAAAAGTGCTTTTAACAAAAACTTGAATGTTCAAACTGGAATTCAACAAGTCCCGGCAAAAACGCAACACACTTATCAGAATAATTCATTACCTCAGCATATCATACACAGAGTTAGCTGAGCTCCACTAACCTTCTTGAGAAAAGGGAACAGCAATTACTTAACAATAGTACTCTTTTAACACTTATTGTGAGGCCCGCAGCGTTAATACTTTGTTTCCTTCATAACACAGAAGTGTTGGGCTTGTAGCTAGCTAGAAGTTTTAATAGACGTATAACTAATGGAAAGAATGGAACAATTTTCTTGTAGGCGGCAAGGGAAGTGTTACGAAATGATACTCAAGCTACACCAAGAATGTGGATACTAGAACACCGTAGCCGGTAGCTCAAAGGTACGTGAATACCTTCCGACAACGTGACGAAAAATATTCCTCGAGGTTTCTACGTCGGGCACGATATGGGCCTGTGTCTCAAGTGCAACTATTACGTAAAACAATTTAAGGCTAGCTATCATCATCAAAACTCAGTTCTTCTATCGTAGTAGCAATGCTTGATCATATACTGATCACAAAGAAAGAAATGCACTGGGAAGGAGAGGGAAACTTGCATTATAGAGCTAAACACTACAAATCTTTCCCAGGGCTATGCATATTCGATATTGTTACAACAGTTTTACAGACAAGCTATCCAAACGACCTTCTAGTGCACACAAAATCTATTTTCTTTAGCTAGTATATTCACTCAAACAAGAGTCCACAATCCAATAAGCGCCCTCCCCTGAATGAGGGGTCACCCTCGATCAAACCAGCTGAAACAGGCAACCCGAGTAAGCGTCCCCCCCATCCCCCTCACTTCCAAAAATAGTAAGATTATCACTAAGAAAATGATGTTTTGTTCTCACTTTATAATTGTTTGCGACTACAATGGAATCAATGAAGGGAAACAGTTTAGCCTATGGCTGTCACTGTCCCTATGTTTTTGTGAAGTACTAAAAGCTGTGCATTGTTCAGATGATAGACATAAACTTTTTCTTCTTTCTTGGAAGCTACCTTGTAGCGGCCAACTCGATAAAGCGCCTGCTTTGAATGAGTGCCTGGTGTCTAGGCGTTTCTTGGAGGAAGTCACCTATTATGTGAACAGCTTCAAATACAAGGTGGTACTTACAATGCACCGAGAGTGTTCCGGCCAACGAAGTTGCAGAACCGATACTGTTATTGTTTGCCACACATCTGTATTGCCCTTTATCTGACCGATTAACATTCCGTATTTCTAAAGAGTGAACTTTTCCTGAGTTTAATTGGCTTAGATCTGGATCCGCTGTGATGTTTAGAGTCACGTTATCTTTTGTCCAGTCAATGCTGGGTTCAGGGTTTCCATCTACAGTGCAGTTAAAGATAGCGGTCTCTCCCTCTATTTTCACGATATTGTCAGGATGTTTGGTGAACCCAGGTGCATCTGAGAGGGGAAAGGTACAAGACTACTTATTAAAAGGTGAGGACAGTTGATCATTTAAAGCAAATAAAAGATTTGAGAAATCTGTCATTGCATTCAACGAATGGAGGTAATAGGGCTAACGGGCCAATTTTAAGGTTTGATAGAGAAGGAAACTTTCTGGTTTAGGGAATTATTCATGTTTTAATAAGACCTCGTGTTGTGTTGTTTGCTTCCTTTCTAGAATATATATGTAAAAAAACATAGGTAACCACACTAAGGTACCAGAATTTTAAACAACATTGAAATGTAAAAAATATAAATCATATATTTTATTAAAATTGCATATTAAAAAGGACGCAATAGGTTTAACAGTATTCAGTTAGTAATAATTAGGTAATAATTATAATAAGTAATCTTACATTGTACATTTAGTGTAGCAGAATTGGACAGAACTGTCGTCACATTGTCAGTTGCCTCACAGACATATCGCCCACTGTCTTCTCTAGTCAGATTCGTTATATTGAGTTGTTTGCCGTCCGATGACAAACTGATTCTTGAACCCGTCGTTAAAACAGAACCGTCTTTGGTCCAATTGAACGTGGGTGCAGAATTTCCTGTTGCATCACAAGTGAAAGTAACGTTATCCCCCTCTATCTTTGTCTCATTTTGTGGATGCAAAGAAAACTGAGGTTGACCTGTGATAAAGAAATATAAAGAACAGAGGTCAAGTAAGCGTTTTATTAATAGGAGAGGGAGCTCCTATACTCGTCCCTTATAGCTGGTTAGTGTATTGTACAAAGTAGCAGTTATATATAGTGTATAACCTCAGTAGTGATGAAATCGATCCCTCATGAACGAAATTCGAATAAACTAACAAAAAATCTTTCCTTTTTCTTTTTCAGTGAGTGGTAGCGCCTTAATGATTGCTCGCGCTTGTCAGCTAAAGAAATTTAAGCTGCATCATGAATTTCTTGAATACAAAAAATGAGCTATTACATGGGAATACTACGCGCGCTGTGTTTGGTCGTTGCCCATGATCTATTAGAGTACAGATACATGGATGACGTCAGGAGAAAAATATCAAAAAAACATCAGTGACACACTGGCCTGCGGCTCGTGTACCACATTTTGACGTCATCTGGGATGCCGGATCTACTACTGAACATACGCACGGCAACTTGGAATCTATTTGTTAAATATATGAAGCGTGATGCGGCTCCCTAGCACAATATCTAGTTTGATATATCAGTGGAATTTGAACAAGGCCGCCAGAAGCGGCCCGCATAACAAGAAGTTAGTTTCACCTTTTAACCAAGTGCGGTTGTGAACAATTAAATGACTGCAAGATCACACAAATGAAAAAGATAAAATCAGTGGGCAGTGGGTGACTGCAGAATTTCTTCTTTCTATAGTGGAACATGCAAAGTCCCGAAGTTCTACCAGAATGCACTTATATTAAAAGTGCTTTTAACAAAAACTTGAATGTTCAAACTGGAATTCAACAAGTCCCGGCAAAAACGCAACACACTTATCAGAATAATTCATTACCTCAGCATATCATACACAGAGTTAGCTGAGCTCCACTAACCTTCTTGAGAAAAGGGAACAGCAATTACTTAACAATAGTACTCTTTTAACACTTATTGTGAGGCCCGCAGCGTTAATACTTTGTTTCCTTCATAACACAGAAGTGTTGGGCTTGTAGCTAGCTAGAAGTTTTAACAGACTTACAGCTAAAGGAAAGAATGGAACAATTTTCTTGTAGGCGGCAAGGGAAGTGTTACGAAATGATACTCAAGCTCCATCAAGAATGTGGATACTAGGTGAATACCTTCCGAGAACGTGACGAAAAATATTCCACGATTTTTCTGCCTCGGCCACGATATGGGCCTGTGTCTCAAGTGCATCTATTTCGTAAATCAATTTAAGCCTACAATAGTTATCATCATCAAATCTCAGTTCTTCTATCGTGGTAGCAATGCGTGATCATATACTGATCACAAAGAAAGAAATGAACTGGGGAAAAGAGGGAAAATTGCATTATAGAGCTAACCACTCTAAATCTTTCCCAGGGCTATGCATATTCGACATTGTTGCAACAGGTTTACAAACAAGCCATCCAAACGACCTTCTAGTGCA